TCACAGCTACTGTAAAATTGTAATCAATATTTCTAACATCCTACCTAATAAAAGAGTAATATGGAAAATAACCATCACTTCACTCCACAAGCCCACCAGCCAATCAGAGTGAGTATGCAAATAAACCCCAACCAAGATGGCTATAGCCACAGAGAGCAGTTGAGAGGCTTGTGTTTCCCCAGTAATAGAGGAACTAAGCTTTCCACACACGCTGGCCAGCCCAGGCTTCCACTCAAAGATACAAAATTTCAATTATATAAGATACATAAGTCCCAAACAGAAATGGCGGCAGCCATGGAGTGAGCAGGGGGCTTGGCTTGTTTCCAGGCTACAAGTTTCAATTGTAGAAGGTAAATAAATTCCAGATACCAAGGCCTCCCCGTGGGTTGCCAGGGGCGTGGCTGGCCTGCAAATCACAACAGGCCCCTCATCCAGGCTGCCCCATGCCGCTACGGAACCCCCACCCTGATCCTGGACACCCTTCAGGGCAAACCAGCCGGCCCCTGCCCATGCACCAGGCCTCTATCCTATCTAATAAAAGAGTAATATGCAGATTGACCATCACTCCAACACACAAGTTGGCTGCCCCCATGTGGTTAAAGATCCTGCCCCCATGTGGACACAAGATAGCCAGCAGGGAAGGGCAGTTGGGAGGGATCAGGCCTACAAGGGAGGGCAGTTGGAGGCAATCAACCCAGGGGAGGGAGGTTAGGGGTGACCAGGCCGGCAGAAGAGTGAAGTTGGGGGCAGACTAACAGGGGAGCAGTTAGACATCAATCAGGCTGGCATGGGAGTGGTGAGGGGGTGATCAGGTTGGCAGGCAGAAGCATTTAGGGGCAATCAGGAAGGCAGGCAGGTGAGCAGTTAGGAGCCAGCAGTCCAGGATTGTGAGAGGGATATCCAACTGCCTGTTTAGACCCAATACCACTGGGCAGTTGTTCAATGGGCAGTTGAACATCCCTCAAGGGGTCCCAGATTGGAAAGGTGCAGGCTGGACTGAGGGACACCCCCCCATCCCTTGTACGAATTTCGTGCACTGGGCCTCTAGTCCTATATAATAAAAGCCTAATATGCAAATTGCCTCCAAAACTGGGAGTTTGACCAAGAGGCAGGGTCAGCTGGCCAACTGCCCACAGCTCCTCCCCCTGCCCAGCCCAGCCCTGGCCAGTAGGGGTGGCAGTCAGGGAGAGGTAGGGGGGACAACCACTCCCATGCCAGCGGCCACTAGGGAGCCTACCCATGTATGAATTTTGTGCATTGGGCTTCTAGTCTTATTTATAACTCTGCTGTTTAGCTCTCTGATTTTGGGACTATAACTGTTAATATCAGAGACAAAGCTCAAACTAAAGAATCTTTAATTTTCTGTTTATTAATTATAGATAGCATCATTTCTACAACTATATTTTAGTTCAAGATAAAATGCAAATTCTAGTTTTGATGGACTCTTTAGTTCTTAAGATTGTTTAAAAAACATTTTAATGGATTCTGAAAGTGAAAATTTGGGAGAGAATGATGCTTTAAATTGTAAGCATCCCAAAGTTCAGAAGGCTGGTTGTTTGTTAAATTTGTATGTCCAGAAATAGGGCAAGATCTGAAAAAATAACTGGAGGAACTGATCATGGTTATCCAGTAATTTCCTTTTCCACTCTGCCTGAAGTTCTCCTTTCACTTTTTTTTTTTTTTTTTACAATCTGTGAAAGATTAACAAATTTTGATTAAAGTCTTTTAAATGTGTAAACAACTTCAATAACCAGTATGTACATCATTAGGAATCATTTTAGCAAAACTTCTTTTCTCAGAACAACCAAGGTAACTATCCCATAGGATTTAAATTAGGGAATTTGGAGCACTTTGAGAAACAGGACAGCCTAGGGGAAATGCTAAGGTAGAAGGTTAACAAAACCTGAGGAGGCTGAAGAGAAAGTGCTGGGGTGGGGGGGGGGGGAAGGTGTGTGAGAAGAACATAGAAAGGAAGTGTAGCATCAAGCATTTCAAAATTTTAATTAGCATTCATTCTTCTCAAAGATAATAAAGCAGACACATCACCTTCCTCTTCTATTTCCTACTGTTGGGATTCAGAGCTCAAGCTAATATTATTTGAAATATAAGTAAGCTGTATTGTCAGGTAATTGGACTTCTTTGAACTAGCCCGAGGACCTTACTGAAAGATTCGGAATGGACTGACATCACACACTTATGACATGAGGCCATAATATATCAAAAGAGATTTTATTCCAGGTACATGCGTGTAGGTGGGCTGAGACTGAGAAAGGCATCAGATAAGAGAGCAGGGAGAGGGGTTCTTATTAACTTTTGCGGGCTGAAAGCTGCTCTGCTGACATAAGAGTCCGGTCCGTCCTTGGTTCCTTCCAGCGTCAGATGGCTAGTGGTTATCTGGGGTGGGAGGTGCTCAAGGTTGCAAGCTTTCTGCCAGATAACTGCTAAGCACAGTAAGTTTTCTCTGCCCCATTTCTTTCTCTTTAGCCCTTTCACTTACCATTTGTGTGAACAATACTGTTCAATAGAAACATACGGTATATATAAGAAATAAAAGTAAAAAAATAAAATGTTCTATTAATAGTAGCCACATTTTAAAAAGTAAAAGGAACACGGGTAAGATAAAGTTTAGTTTATTTAACCCAGTTCATCATTCATTCAGTATGTTTCCCAAGTTCTACATAATCCACAAAATTTTGGAATACAGTCTAAAAACTCATTTGAGCTCTCTGAGCCTTAGTAAAAGTGGGACTGGAACTAGGTGAGTTCTAAGATTTCTTTAGTCCCAACATTATATGTGTCTAGAGAAATGAACTAATGGTGTTTATGGTATTTTTATTAACGCTATTCCACAGAATTTCTAGATAGGTAGTTCTTTTACTTAGTTGCTAGTGCTGCTTGAAAGTTGTTAAAGAAATCAGTATGGTATTCTGTTAGCAAAGGTGAGCGTTTTTGTTTTGATTCATTTGGTTTTTTTTCTTTTATACTATCCTAAACCTATTCCCTTTGCTGGACATACAATTTACCCTGAGGTGATAGAAGCATCTATTAAATGCTTTGTTTTTTTATTCAGAAAGCATTTATGATATACACATGTGATCAAAGATTCTGAGAGAAATTCCAAAGGACAGGATATCTGCCTTTAAGAATTTAAGAACATACCATAACTAGTTTGGCTCAGTGGATAGAGCATCGGCCTGCGGACTGGAGGGTCTCAGGGTCCCAGGTTCGATTCCCATCAAAGGCATGTACCTTGGTTGCAGGCACATCCTCAGTGGGAGGTGTGCAGGAGGCAGCTGCTGGATGTTTCTCTCTCATCGATGTTTCTAACTCTATCCCTCTCCCTTCCTCTCTAAAAAATCAATAAAATATATTTTTTAAAAAGAATTTAAAATTATGTAATAAATTCACATTGATAAGAAAGCAAACTGGGGTGAGGGGGATGTGGAAGGACAAGGAAATAGAGATAAGGATGGTTGCAGAAGAGAAATAGTTGCAGCTGGTAATCATTTAGTTATCAAAGTTCAGCTCTGCTAAAAATCACCAGGAAGCAGAGCCCACTCTCAGATTCAGAAGTAATAAAGACATACATCATGTGGTGTTAAAATTGTGGCGTGGGAGGTGTTAGCCTGTTCTTAGATCTCAGAGGCTGAGCACACTGTGAGTAATAATAATAAAAATAACTTGAACTTCTCACCCATAACAAGCATAATTTTTAAATCTGACTCTGAAGAAATACTTGTAGACTTACAGCAAAGTAATGTATCTTTCCTTCTTCAGTTTGCATTATATAAAGTATTGAAGTATTATGTACTCCTTAGCAGTGTAGGTCGTTATTAGGGGTCCTAAGGTTGTGTCAGCCTTTGGTTGATGACCACATTTTTAGACTGTGTCCACGGAAGTTGGCAAGTGATAGACATTTCCTATGCTTTGTGCTCAGTCCCTTATTTTGTCCTCCTCTTTAGGTCTTTTGTAACAATTTTGTACCCACTATCAACATGTATTAAACCTTTCTGAATGTAGGTGGGAATACTGGGGCTTTTTGGTGTCTTTTTTTTTTTTTTTAAGACATAAGTAATAATTTCATCTGTTTAGTTAAGTGAAATATTGTTCCACTTGTAAAAGGTGTATAATAAAGATTGGTTTGATTCTGGAGTTGTCTTTTTGATATTTTTAGTTTTAGACTATTGTAGATCTTATAAACAGCCATTGGTTTATGAAACAAAAGATGTTTTAGAACCTAGGTAGGCTGTTAATTAGAAACTGTTTTCTGACATTGTCTTTAAAATATTACCTATAATAATAACAGCATAATATGCTAATTAGACTGGACATCCTTCCGGATGACCTCTGGACGAAGCCAGGGCTGTGCAGGCTGCGGCTGTGAGGGCGAGCCCCTTGCATGAATTTTATACATCGGGTCTCTAGTTAATAGAATTTAATTGCTTAGACCCAGGGCTGCTTGTAGGCCCAGTTGTGAAGTGAGGGACATTGGTCATCTTTTCCCTTCCAGCTCTTCTCACATTCTCGTATGGCAGAGCTCTGAGTCTCTCTCCCCATCCTGACTTATTTGACGCCTCTCCTTTTGGAATGTTCTGAGACTGTATATTTTGTAAGTCATTAAACCATCAGCAGGTTGATCAAATAGTGTGGTAGACATGGTTGTTGTCTACCCTTGATAGTCTCTTTCTTCTTTTCAACTGTTTAATAAACTTCCATGACAAAATTATTTTCTTTTGCATTTTTCTACCTCAACCTTCCTGGCCTTATTGAAATGTGTCAACTTATACACATAAATATTTTAATTATGAAAATGGTAATCATTTAAGGAAAAAAATATTTTTTCTTACAGTGTTTTGGTCTAGATTTTTATACACAAAAACTGATGTATAAGAAGACTAGAACTCTAAAAGTAGCTATTTTGATCGTATTACGTTAATAATCCACTTTTCTGTGGTCATTCAGAAAATCTCTGATTTAATTTTTGTCTTGTGTTTCAACAGAAGGAGACTATATTAAAATGTTTATGCGAGGTCGGCCAATTACAATGTTTATTCCTTCTGATGTTGACAACTATGATGACATCAGAACAGAACTGCCTCCTGAGAAGCTCAAACTGGAGTGGGTGTATCCTTTTTTACCGCGACAGCAAATTCTCTGGCTTCATTTAAGAAAATTGGTTTACCTAACCTCTATCAAAATGATTTTGTATCAGAAAGTAAATGTAATAAGCATACCAACCTCTGATCCTTTTACATGTTTTATATATTTTGCTATTAGCAATTTAAAATTCACCAAAATTAATATATTTGAATAGGGAAAGCAATATTTTAGATCATTATGGTAGGTATTTGTAATATGATAGCAAAGGCATTAGACTGAATTTGGAAGAATAGTGTTTGAGTCATGTAACCCCCAGTAAAACTTAGTTTCTTCACTTGAAAAAGAGGCTAATAACCCCTACCTCACAGGCCTGTTGTGAGAATTAAATAAGAAAACACCAGTTAAGTATTTTGTAACCTAGGATATATGAATTAAGAGCTCAAATTATCAAGGTTGCTTTTAATTCCAGAATTAATTTCTGTTCTTAGCTATACTTTTTTTTAAAAATGACTATATGAAACAGAGCTCTCCTAATTTCACTTAGAAATTCTCTCTTCTCTCAAAACATCTAAGAAACTCACAGTGAAGCAGGAGGGAGCTAATACTTTGAACCCTGCTTTCTGTCTCTGTTCTCCTACATCATCTTTCCCCACCTCTTGAATTATTCCCTCCTTTTGGCAGAAATTAGCTTTGGAAATTTCTCTAATCCTATAATTCTGTACAACTGTTTAACATACACTCTGCCTACCAAACTGTGCCTGACAATCTCTGCTTTATCGGTTAGGTCAAGCATGAATCTCACTTTCTCAGATAGCCCTTCTTTTGGTCCCTCTTTTTTCTCTCCATTTAAATTAGGTCCTTTTATTCTTCTGCCATGCTGTTATTTCCTCCCTCCCCCCCACAATTTCTAACGATGTAATTGGTGTTTGTTTTTGTCATTTTTGCCAGAGCCTAAGCTCCAGGGACATAGGCCTCACATTGGTTTGTATATTTAGCTCGGTGCCTGACACATCAGGAATTCAATCTATATTTATTTGTCTGTTAGATGGGGGGAATTAAGATTCAAGTACACTGGCAAACATGAGTTTTCAAATTCCAATCCAGTCCTCTTTACATTATACCTTTCTGATACCTTTATGTATCCTTGAAAAAATGGTTAATTTAACACCTTGAATACTATGCTTGTTTAAAACCTTGACTCTTTCTTTTAAGATATGGTTATCGAGGAAAGGATTGTCGAGCTAATGTTTACCTTCTTCCTACCGGGGAAATAGTTTATTTCATAGCATCAGTAGTAGTACTATTTAATTATGAGGAGAGAACTCAACGGCACTACCTGGGTCATACAGACTGTGTGAAATGGTTGGTATCATTTAACATTGTTTGTTTTTTAATTTCATGCTCTTATTTTTTGTTTTTTTGGGGGTTTTAAAAATCTTGGTTTTATTGGAAATGATTTTTTGTGGACACCTCAGAATTTAAGGATATTATGAGCATTGCCTTTTAGAAAGAGTGGAAGGAAGGGAGAGAAGGAGCAAGAGAGAGAAACATCAATGTGTGAGAGAAATATCAATTGGTAGCCTCCCCAACGAGCCCTGACTGGGCCAGGGATCAAACCTGCAACCCCGACTCATGCCCTTCCTCTCTAACAATCAATAAAAATATATATTTTTAAAAAGCAGATCCATTGTTAGTTTTTTTAGGAAACTCCATACTGTTTTCCACAGTGGCTGCACCAATCTGCATTCCCACTAGGGTTCCCTTTTTTCCACATCCCTTCCAGCTCCTGTCCTTTGCTGATTTATTGATAAGTAGCCATTCTGACATGTGTTAGGTGATACTTCATTGTAGTTTTAATTTGCATTTCTCTAATGATTAGTGACCTTGAGCATTTTTTCATATGTCTATTGGCCATGTATATGTTCTCTTCAGAGAAGTGTGTATTCAGGTCCTTTGCCCATTTTTAATTGTATTGTTTGTCTTCCTGGTGTTGATCTGTATTGGTTCTTTTATTTATATTGAAATTAACCCCTTATGAGATGAATCATTGGTGAATATCTTCTCCCATATTGTGGGTTCCCTTTTCGATTTGTTGAGGGTTTATTTTCCTGTACAGAAGCTTTTTAGTTGGATGTAGTCCCATTTATTTATGTTTACCTATATTTCTTTCAGAAGCATATCGGCAAAAATAATGCTCTGAGAGATGTTTGAAGTTTTATTGCCTGTTTTCTTCAGGAATTTTATGGTTTCTCAACTTAGGTCTTTTATCCATTTTTTATTTTTTCTTGTGTATGGTGTAAGTTGATGGTCTAGTTGCACTTTTTTGCATGTCCAATTTTCTCAAATTCAGTTATTGAGGAGACTGTTTGTACTCCACAGCATGCTCTTGCCTCCTTTGTCAAATATTAATTAACCATAAAAGCATAGGTTGATTTGTGGGTTCTCTGTTCAGTTTAGTTTATCTATATGCCTGTTCTTGCTCCAGCACAGGGCAGTTTAGATTACTGTGGCTTTGTAGTGTAGTTTGATATCTGGTATTGTGACCCTCCAACTTTGTTCTTGCTAATTGGGGCTTTTATGGTTCCAAATAAATGTTTGAAATATTAGTTCTAATATGTGAAATACAATTAATGTACATTGGCATATTAATAAGAATTATGTTCAATCTATATAGATTGCTTTGAGTAATATGAACATTTTAATGATGTTAATTCTTCCGATCCATGAATATGGTATATGCTTCTACTTGTTGCATTTTTTTCTGTTTTTTTCTTTAGTGTCCTTTAGTTTTCTGAGTACTGACAGGTCTTTTACCTCATTAGGAAAGTTTATTCCTAGGTACCTTCTTTTTTGTTGTTGCAATTGTAAATAGGATTGTTTTTTAGTTTCTGAGAGTTTGTTATTGGTGTATAAAAAAAAATGCCACTGATTTCTGAATATTAATTTTGTATCCTGCTACTTTGCCAACTTCACTTATTAGATGTAGTTTTTTGGTGGATTATTTAGGGTTTTCTATGTAAAATTTGTTACCTGTAAATAATGACAAATTTAGTACCTCTTTTCTAATTTGGATGCCTTTTATTTCTTCTTCTTGTCTGATTGCTGTGGTTAGGACTTGCAGCACTATGTTGAATAAGAGAAGTGAAAGTGGGCATCCTGTCTTGTTTCTGATCTTGAGAGAAATGCTTTTAGTTTTTGCCCATTGAGCATTATATTGGCTGTAGAGTTTTTATAGATGGCTTTTATTATATTGAGGTGGGGTCCTGGATTTTATCAAATGCTTTTTTTAAATATAAGTTGATATGATCAATGATTCTTATTTTTCATTTTATGTATATGATGAATCACATGTATTGATTTGTGTAGGTTAGGCTCTCCTTTTGTAATTGGATCTTGATTGTTATTGTCCCATTTGTGGGTGGGATTTCCCCTCATGCTGGCTGACTATAAGGCTAACTCCCGCCCATATCATGCTAGCTATTGAACAAGTACTAAGTTGCGGGTTTGCTCTCTAGTCAGGGTGCGTACAGAAGGCAACCAATTGATGTTTCTCACATAAATGTTTCTCTCTCCCTTCCTCCCTTTTAAGGTGATTTCTGCTTTTCCTTGTTTAAAAGCCTCTTCTCAACTGATCTTAAGTTGGTAATTCAGGGTGAATTTTCCTAGTTTAGCTTTATTTCCAGTTTGGTGCAAGAAAGATCCACCTACTCAGCCACCATTTTGAAACCCTTAATGCTCATGTTTTAATAGATTAAAATTACAATGCATTATGCATCTTCACTGTAATAAAACTATGTGAAATATGTATATGTATATAGGTGCAGAACTAGAAAGGAACTTGGACATATGAAAACAATTTAGGTGAAAAGTTAAGCAAAAAACAAAACAAAACTCATAGTCTCAGGAACATAACAGCATGGGAATTAGTAGAGGGGAAAGAAGGGTGGGTAAGTAGAAGAGAAAAAGAAAAGTATAATTTATTAAGCCATTAATAAATTTAATGGTTAAGTGAATAAATATTTTCTTCAGATTTAGTGTTTTGTTAATTTGTTAAGTTTAATAAAGAAGTATAGCTAAAAACTTAGAAAAGAAATCTTTTTATACTTGATGTTTATTTGATTTGTTAAAGAAAAAGAAATAGGTCATTGGGAGATTTTTTTAATGATTAAAAAACTGTTTGAAAAATGTTGATACTAAGGTATATTTCTGCTGTTTTGTATGATTCCTGTTTTTAAAATTGTTGTTAATACTGCTTTTCAGCCTTGCTATACATCCTGACAAAATTAGGATTGCAACTGGACAGATAGCTGGAGTGGATAAAGATGGAAGGGTGAGTATCTCAGTTTTATGCCTTCTGTGCCTAGTGACATTACTGTTAGAATGGGATTGATGACAACTTTTATATCTCAATTTACTCTTCTAAAATTTAACTATGATTTCTAGTATAAGCAAGGAAAAAAAAATTAGAATGTAAAAAACATTCTAAAAACCAAGAGAGAATTATACTACTTAAATAGTTTTTTCTAAAAACCAAGTCTTCTCACCCAACCAGCGTGGCTCAGTGGTTGAACATCGACCTATGAACCAGGAGGTAATGGTTCGATTCCTGGTCAGAGCATATGCCCAGGTTACAGGCTCGATCCCCAGTGTGGGGTGTTCAGTAGGCAGCCAATCAATGATTTTCTAATCATTGATTCATTTTCTCTCTCTCTCTCTCCCCCCCTCCTAAATCAATAAAAACATATTAAAAAAATAAATAAACACAAAGAAACAAGTGTGCTCCTTAAGGAAACTACTTACTTTTAAAAATGGGAATACTGATAAGATTATTAACTTATATATATTTCTTAATATATTTTTATTGACTTCAGAGAGGAAGGGAGAGGAAGAGAGAGAGAGAAAAACATAAATGAGGACCAAGAATCATTAATTGGCTGCCTCCTGCACATCCCCCAACAGGTACCAAATCCACATCCTAGGCATGTGGCTGACCAGGAATCAAACCGTGATCTCCTGTGTTCATCGGTTAAGGCTCAACCACTGAGCCATGGCAACTGGACTATATATATATATAATAGAATAAGTTATCAGTGTTTGCTATAGGTACTGTAATTTCCCTAAATTGATTTTATATATGAGTAGCACTGATAATACTTGAAAAATTGTAGTTGCTATTCAATTTTACTAAATAGGCTTAAATAACAAATCCCTTATTTATAAGGATCAACAGTGAATATTAATAATGACTGATTAGAAGTATATGACTATACTCATGGCATTCTCTGGTTTGTTTCTTTCATGAAAAGGATCTGGAGGGATTATATTTGAAGACTTATAAGACCCCTTCTAGTTCCAGATTCTGTTTTAAGAACTGTTAGCTTAGCAGTTTATTGAGCACTGATTTTAAAAAGTATTATTTTCCTAAGAATAAAGGTAATGCTAAAATCAGGGTATCCAGAACAAATTTTTCTGGGTTCAAATCCTAACTCTGCCTTTTAATAGCTGTGTAATTTTGGACAAGTTATTTAAATCTCTATCTCAGTTTCCTCATTTGTGAAATTGTGATTGTAATAATAAATAGGTCATAGAATTATGAAGATTAAACTAATATATGTGATGTACTTAGAATAGTATATGGCACTTGAGAAATGTTCAGATCATCTGCAGCTACAACTATTATCACTGTTATGTCCTTATTTTCATGGTATGAGAAGAAAATACCTGCTCAAGATTCTTTGAGGGCATGTCTAAATGTAGCTATTTTTTATTAGATATTTATCCATCTCTATTATTTTTTAAAAACAGTAACAGTTCTGTGTTGTAGTGGTATTCATTGGCATTCACTTATATACCAGTTGGTCCTAGCTTGTGTTTTTTCCTTTTTTTTTTGCAGCCTCTGCAACCCCATGTCCGAGTGTGGGATTCAGTTAGTCTCTCCACACTGCAGATTATTGGCCTTGGAACTTTTGAGCGTGGAGTAGGATGCCTGGATTTTTCAAAAGCTGTAAGTAATAATTTTTAAAGGAGTAAGCAAGAGGTACAAAGAAGCAAAAGAAGTTAAGCTCATTTTTGTGTCTGTGCTTTCATAGAAAGTGATAACTTTGAATTGAAATATGGGATATTAGCTATAGCCAGCATTTTAACCTAAATCTAAAATACTTTGGTTTAGCTAGGATCCAGAATATTACACTTAATTATACTTAATTTTTTTTTCTGCCCTGAAATAGAATTCCCATGTAGTATCGGGAATTGTTAAAGAAATACATGGTTGGCATAGTAAAAATAAAACAAGCAATACGTTGTACTTTTGATTAGCTTGGATAATGGAGTTCTATTTTATTTAGAAAATTCACAGACCTGAAACCTGGTCAGTTATGCACAAATACTGTCTTTACTTAATGTCATGTTGGAGCAAAAGACAGAACTCTTTATATTCACTAAAATCATGAATTATCATGGCTCTGAATTAATGACTACATGAGTTTAAAATTTAGTGTATAACAATCTTACCTAAGCCTTGAAGGTTTATTCTGAGGGGAACTAAAACAGGATGTTACTAATTTAAACAATCTCTTCACTCTTAAATTATATGTAATTATTCATATTAATTTAAATGTAGGAGAGCTACATTTTAGACTCCATAATTTTTGTTTTGTTTTACAGAGACAGAGAAACATCAATGGGTTGCCTCTCATACTCTACTCAGCTGGGGATCAAACCCACAATCTAGATATGTGCCCTGACTAGGAATTGAACCTGCAACCTTTCCGTGTACGGGATGACGCTCCAACCAGCTGAGCCACACTGACAAGGGCAGGATCCATAATTTTTAGTTTTAAATATAAATATCCCTTAGATGTTATTGGGTCCCACTCACACTTTAGAATATATTAATATATTCATATAATCTCTTCAGTTCTTGGGTATTAGCAACTATATTCTGGATTCTGGGAGTTTTGTGCGACATCGCAGGAAGGGACATTTTTAGAACAGGAAGATAAATTTGGGTGGATATGGGAATTTTGCTAGCTTGAAAGCACTGAGTGTCAAGGTTCAAATGAGTCAGGAATTGGAAGAAAGGCATTTAGAAAAGGAGATAAAAGGACGGGACAGAAAGGAAATACTTTTGCTACCTTTCCCGCCCCTAAAATTTCTGTAGCAGAAACTTTTGTCATCTTGTTGATATTGTTAAAATATTAAGACTATCTTGGATTGCCTCCTACTCTAACTTCCTGGTTTAGATGATCATTCTGGTACAGGTTAAAAGATAGATAAAGAGAAGAGCTTAATCTCTGACCTTTCTCAGTACCTCTCCTCTTTTTCACATATTTCTTTGTTCCATAGACATTTAAAGTATATGCTGCAAATGCTAGTAGGGGCAAAAAAAATTTTTTAAACTTATTTTTATTGTCTTCAGAGAGGCAGGAAGAGGGAGAGAGGAAAACATCAATGATGAGAGGGAATCACTAATTGGCTACTTCCTGCACACCCCCTACTGGGGACCGAGCTGAAAACCTGGAAGTGAACGCTAACTGGGAATTGAACTGTGACCTTCTGGTTCATAAGTCAACTCTCAATCTCTGAGCCACACCAGCTGGGCAAAAAAATAATTTTTTTAATGTCCACAGTTCTTTTTTCTTAAACTGGGAGACTTAAATTATGTGAATGAAAATCACATTGGAAACATAAATATAAAGGAATTTAGTTATGCTTTTATTTATTTTGTTTGTTGCCGAAACCGGTTTGGCTCAGTGGACAGAGCGTCGGTCTGTGGACTGAAAGGTCCCAAGTTCAATTTGGTCAAGGGCTTGTACATTGGTTGCGGGCACATCCCCAGTAGGGGGTGTGCAGGAGGCAGCTGGTTGATGTTTCTCTCTCATCGACGTTTCTAGCTCTCTGTCCCTCTCCTCTCCCTTCCTCTCTGTGGAAAAATCAATAAAAATTTATAATAGTATTTATTTTGTTTGTTCATATTAATGTATATCATGGAAAGTTGAAATTGGAAAACTTTAAAACAAGCCATTAATTTTAGCTTGTTTCATTGACTACAAAAACTTAGGAACAAAGTTATAAAATCATACATTTTATGCCTACCTCGAGGGACTATAATTTATTTTTTTAATATGTTTTTATTGATTTCAGAGAGGAAAGGAGAGGGAGAAAGAGAAACATCAATGATGGGAAAGAATCATTGATCTTTAATAGGCTGTCTCTTGCACGCCCCCTACTGGGGATCGAGCCTGCAACTCGGGCATGTACCCTTGACCAGAATTGATCCTGGGACCCTTCAGTTCGCAATACGTTTTATCCATTGAGCCAAACTGGCTAAGGACTGTACTTTAAATATAAGAAGGCAAGGAAGACTAAGGGACAATCCTCAAAATGAATTATTTGCTATCTCTGAATAAAAGTGGCTAGGTGACAAGAAAAAATCAACTTAGGGAAAAAATTAAAACTGGAAAATATTTTTTAAAAGAATATTATATTGCCGAAACCGGTTTGGCTCAGTGGATAGAGCATAGGCCTGCAGACTGAAAGGTCCCAGGTTCAATTCCGGTCAAGGGCATGTACCGTGGTTGTGGGCACATCCCCAGTAGGGGATGTACAAGAAGCAGCTGATAGATGATTCTCTCTCGTCGATGTTTCTAGCTCTCTATCCCTCTCTTTTCCTCTCTGTAAAAAATCAATAAAATATATTTTTTAAAATATTATATTTCTGAAGAAAATCAGTTTTAGTAATATATTCATTATATTTCAAGGAATCATACATTTAAAGGATTTTGGATTATCTTAATGTTGACTGTTTTAATAATATGGTTCTTGTTCCTAGAAAGTCAGCCTTATCTGAAAAAATTTAAATGCTTATAATTGACTTTTCTTTAGGATTCTGGTATTCACTTATGTGTTATTGATGATTCCAATGAGCATATGCTTACTGTGTGGGATTGGCAGAAAAAGTCAAAAGGTGCAGAAATAAAGGTAAGTCCAAAAAAGTTTCACTTGTCTTTTAGAACATTATTTGTTTTGCAGATCCTTAGAAGTATACTGCTTATCCTTAATGTGCAGTAGCACACTAACTATCCCAAATTATCAGCTTTATTGATTTGTCATTATTTTATGCTATTAAGAATACCACTCTTATAGTATAAAATATTTAAGAAACTTCAACCACTGTTAGTGATATTTAAAACACATTGACAAAGCAGATGGATGTCTAATCTCTGGCTACTGCTGCCTTTTTTTTTTTTTTTTTTTTTTTTTTAGATTTTTTAATTGGTATTTTGAGAGCAAGTCAGAGAGAGAAGGAAACATTGATGTGAGAGCAAAACATGGATGGCTGCCTCCTCTCTGCCCCTTCCTAGGGATTAAACCTGAAACCTGTACATGTGCTCTGACCAGGAATTGAACTGGCAACCTTTCAGCGCATGGGATGACACCCAACCAACTGAGCCACACTGTCCAGGGCGACTACTGCTGCTTTTTAAACAAAATCTATTATTTCATTTAAGCTTTAAAAAATTTAAAGGAAAAATTCAATCATAGGAGTATGGATGACATAACTGAAAAGCATATCTAGTGATATGCATTGTTGTAATCTTCTGTATATATAAAAAGCTAAGTGACCAACAATATGTCCGTCCAGCTAGCCAGTACATATGATGCGCAATGGCGCTATCTATCTATCTACCTATCTATTTAGCCAAGTGACCTGAATGACCGGTTGCCATGATGCACACTGCAGCCAGCCAACCTCCCATGTCTCCCCCATTCCGCTCCACCCCCAGCCTCTAGTTTAAAAATGTTGACTCGTGCATGCACAATACATATAAAGCTCTGAAGTATTAACAGAATCTATGGAAGGAGAGATTGTTCTGATTCCAAGAGTTGATTTGTCCCCATCTGACACTGGCCTGCCATTTAAATTAATTCGAAGACAGTTTCCCGTGATGCCCACATTTGCGATGACTATTAATAAATCACAAGGACAAACTCTAGATGGAGTAGGAATATTCCTACTCTGTTTTTGGACGTGGTCAGTTATATATTTTTTTCTGAAGTTTGAAGAATGTGTGATGTTAAAGTTGTCAATACTTTATCACAAAGGAAATTAGTCAAGCACTCTGAAAGTGTTTTTACTCCTAATGTGTACAGGGAGATTAAGTTTAATCAATTTATCAGTCATTGTTTTTATGTCATGTTTTTGTTGTTTTATATAATGTTTTTCTATCCTGTTTTAGTAGTTTTTCTATCATGTCTTTGTTATATCATGTTATTGTTTACTTATTACTCTAAATGTTATTTTCATATACATTTTACTATTTTTTTTTCATTTCTGACACTTCTATAATAAAGGGCGAATAGTGATATTAAAATATTTCTTCTAATTAATTTCCTTTCAATGTGCCTGAATCTGTGCATTGTGCCACTCGTGTTATGTAAAATGCAGAATATTTTATAATTGTATAAAATAGTGTTGGTCCTTTGTGTGGATCAGGCTGTAACTTGTAAAAGAGGAATGTAAGGTTAACATTACAATAGCATTCACATGGGTCAGAAATGGCCGCCTCCTGACAGGCTTTCAGAGGGATTCAAAGTGACAGGATGACTAAAAAAAGGCTATGACATATTTGCTGTACTCTTAAATAACACCACATTCCTCTTCAATTGCACACCCGCTCTCTGTCTCAGCAGTTTTGTTCTGTATCTTTCAGTTTGTTGGTCAAAAAGAGGTTCTGTTTTCAAATAGCATAAGTTAATCTTTTGAAAGAAATAAGAATAATTTTGATTGTACTTGGAAAGAGTATAAGAAACCTCAAGCTTTAAAAAATATAAATGAAGATACAGATAGTCTTTCAGCCATCATTCACGGTAATTTAACATTGAAACATAGGGAACTTATACCAAAGTGTAATATGTGAATTTTGATATTTGGTAGTAAAAGTTAGCAGATCTCCTTTCCAGGACTTTAAATGTTGTTGTTATTCAGAATTATATCTTATGTCCTCCATTGACAGCATACAGCTGCCATAGCCTTAGTTACTATCTGTTCTGTCTTCCATCATTTACCTGTAGCCCAGATCTCTCACAGATTTAAACCTACATTTCTTGTTGCCTGACAGGCATCTTTAAATGAATGTTCTAACCCACAAGTCATAACCAACATAACCGTCTCTGGTTTTTGTTGTGGTTGTTGTTGTTTAATCTATTTTTATAGATTTCAGAAAGAGGAAGAGAGAGGGAGAGATAGAAACATCAATGATGAGAGAGAATCCATTGATTGGCTGCCTTCTGCACGGCCCCTGCTGGGGATCGAGCCCACAACCTGTGGCATATGCCCTTGACCGGAATTGAACTTGGGACCCCTCAGTCCATAGGCCAATGCTCTATCCATTGAGCCAAACCAGCTAGGGCGAGTCTCGGGTTTGATTTCAGTTAAGGGAACTTGGTTGAAGGCTGGAAACCCAACCCTGGTTGGGGTGCGTGTGGGAGGCAACCAATTGATGTGTCTCTCTCACATTGATGTTTCTCACTCTGTCTCTTCCCCTTCCTTCTACTCTCTAAAAATTAATGGAAAAATATCCCCATGTGAGGATTAACAACAACAAAAAGGAAAAAAGATGGAAAGGCAGGCAGAGATCTTGGTCAGAATAAAGATTTAAAAATTAATTGATTAAAATAAAATTAAAGGCAACATCATCCTGGAAGAAAGATGATGAATTTTTTCATTGTTAATTAACACATTATCTTTAAAATTTACTTTGACTTGCTACTTCAACCAAACATTGTGGAATCTGTATAACAAGAAAGGGTACTGTCCTTTTCCCTCATGAGGGGAGAAAGCATTCAGATTGGATTGTTTGAGTTTTATTTATGTGCCTATACAAGGCTGTAGAGTCCAATTGTTGGTGGTAGAAATAAAAAGTTGGTGGAAATATTGAAGCCATGGGGAAAATGTTTTTTTTAATTAGCTCAGTTCCTTCAAGTGTCATTTTATTAGTATAAGAATGTAAACGGTATTTTATTTAACTCACTTTGTTTACAAGATTACCATGTTTATTACCATGTTGGTTTGCAATGAAGAAACGCTTCCGTACACATGAAGTTCTTTGCTAAGTTAAAAAAAAACAACAAAAAACACCTTCGTGATCACCCTGTTAGTTGAGCACCAGCACCAACAAGCAGCTTCACAGGCATATAGATTTCACCTCACCATTTAGCTGGAGTAGCTGCTTTTACCATAAAACATCAATTTAGTAAGAATTCAATTATGACTTACTGAACATATTTAAGTGTAGTGTTTTTAAGACATCCTCAGTTCAGTAATTTCAGTGAAAAAACTATTGTAATTCCTTTGGATGCTTGTGCCTATTTTCTTCCTTTTTTAGTCTACTTGTTTTAAACTTCTATCTTTTCTAATTTTTCTTTTTTGGGAAATGGCATAAAAGCTCTTCGGTTTTTTTTTTTTTTTTCATTTCTGAATGACTCAGTAGTGACCGTTTTATATATAAACTTTTAAGCTTTTAGCCTAAGGTTGAATCTCTTTAAATCAGTAATAAATTTTCTTAAATGAATGAGTGGTCAGTAATAATAGGACAGAGAAAAGGTAAGACTTTTAAAAAATCAAAGTACCTAAAAGGCAGTACCTTTAAGACAAATGTATATAGTTTTTATATTTGATAGTTTTAGTGTACTTTTCCCCTAAATGTGCAAGAACTAAAATAATCTAAAACTAATTCATTTAAATGTCTTCTAATGCAGTTATTATATATGAATAATATAAAAGATGATATAATATCTAATATGAAAACATCAGATTAAAATCATTATTATAAAAATTTATTGTTACAAATGTTCAGGAAAATAGATCTTGGAAGAAAAGGCATTTCCTAAAATTTTTTCCTGTCTATCAGTAGCTGTAATTGGTACTTGATGGAGATAAAAGTATACATTAATCTAAAGCTTTATTTCTCTTTCCACAGACAACAAATGAAGTTGTTTTGGCTGTAGAGTTCCATCCAACAGATGCAAATACCATAATAACATGTGGTAAATCTCATATTTTTTTCTGGACCTGGAGTGGCAATTCACTAACAAGAAAACAAGGAATTTTTGGGGTAAAGATCAGAATATTATAAATTTCATTATAAAACTTCAATATTTTAATTGTTGAGTGAGCATGGAGTCATCATGCCAAAGGGAAAACTGAAAGTTCTCTCTCTCTCTTTTATTTTTTTGTAGAAATATGAAAAACCAAAATTTGTACAGTGTTTAGCATTTTTGGGGAATGGAGATGTTCTTACTGGAGACTCGGGTGGAATTATACTTATATGGAGCAAAACTACTGTAGAACCCACACCTGGGAAAGGGCCGAAAGGTACAGTATTCTCATATTGTCATTCCTTTTTAATTTGCACTTACTGCTATTGCACTTCCATCTTGTACCCAGACCAGGAGAGGCTGCAATGAAACAATAGGAGAACCACTACCATGCCTTATGTTTCTAAGGTTCTTCATGATCTTTTTAAAATTAAAATATTTACTAATTAATTATTAAGCATAGGTAACCTACATTTGATCCTGCTGAACATTTCCTTCTAGGAGGTTAATTGAGAAATAATTAGAGAGGTGATATATATATGTTAATTTAAACAGTATAAAATTGAGAGAGAGAATCTGATTTTCTGAGTTTTGTGAAGACTTCACAGAAGTAGTAGTATTTAAGGTTAAGCCATAAGGAGTGCACGAGACTACAAAAGGTATGGAACTTTGGTCTCAATTTAGGGGAAAGTGCAAGCAGAAATAGAAAGATGGATATGAGTGTAATAAGGCAGTGAGGGTAGTGTGAATAAATCTGTTTGTAAAAGTGGTAGCAGAAATAAGAGATAGCCAATTTGAATGAAATACAGTTTGTAAAATAGTAATAGAAAAAGTTTTATAATTCCTCTTGACAGTTTAAGAGGAATTATAAAATTCAATTAGGGATTAAAGATACAGATTTTCTGAGCTATCCACAAGAACCCGTAAGGCTAGTTGAGCTCACCATTGAAGAGAGAAGAGCTGTCAGGCCAGAGATCCTTTCTTCCACAGTTAGATGGCCAGAAAAGAGTCTGCAAGGATTACAGAAGTGAGATATTTAAGGAAGAAAGAAAAGTTAACAAGAGAGAGAGTAGGAAGGAAAGGAAAAAGGTTTGACTCCTAAAATCTTATCCTCACCCTTAAGAAAGAAGTGTGTGTATGTGTGTTTTGAAAGAAAGTTCTACCTTTTTCTCTCTTTCCTTTTCCTGAGCACATGTGTTTGTATATGAAATGCCCAGAAGAGCATTGTATATCAAAACTGAATTATTGACAGGTTTTCCTCTGTCAATGAACAGAGTTTGGGTGTAAATGTATCTACTCTTCATTAGCTTAATGTGTGTAGAGGTGGGAGAATCAGGGAAAGGTTCAGAGATTGTTTCATTTTGTTTTTTGTCTGAAAAACTTGTGCAAAGAAAATCTGCACATGCAAACACAGGAAATGGGAAGTGTGACCTTGTAAGCAGCTGGGCACATGAAATGGCCTGTGTTGTGCTCTGCGAGGTGATCGTTACAGGCAAACTTGCTGAGAATTTTGTTTCTTCCTTTATATTTGGGATTACAATTCTGTAAGATGTGGCTGGGAAGGATTTGGTGTATGAAGTGAAATAAATGTGTGAACCCAGATCATAACAGAGTTCAAAGTTTCCATTTTTAAAATCTTGGGCAAAAAATTCCAACAGATGGATCCAGTTTTATATTCCCTAATGTAATGTTTCTGCAGCCGTTGCAGTCTTGTCAACTAAAATTGTGTATATTGTGGTATCATATCTGATCAGGAACATTTTTTTCAGATGTCATGATTTCATAGCTAATTCTTTTACTCTAGTAAATAGGAGACAAGCCAGAACTGTATTTTGTGCCTCATAAGCTCTCCTGTATGTTTTCTTTTTGCTTCCAGACCTTAAATATATATTAACAAGAATCTTCAAAGTAATTAGTATATTCTATTACTTTCTTCCCAGTTTTATTGGCCTATAATTGACATATAACATTGTATATTTATGGTATACAACATAATGATTTCCTATACATTGCAAAATGATTTACCTAAGTTAACATCCATCACTTCACACAGAGTATTTTTGTGTGTGATGAAAACTTTTAAGATCTCTCTTAGCAACTTTCAAATATACGCTACAGTGTTGTTAACTATAGTCACCATGCTGTTATTTACATACTAAAACGTATTCATTTTATAACTAGAAGTTTGTACCTTTTGACCATCTTCTCCTCTTTCCTCAACCTGGCCTCTGGCAATGACCAGTCGGTTTGTTCATGTTTTTACATTCCACTTGTAAGTGAGATCATATGTACTATTTGTATTTCTCTGTCCTATTTCATTTAACATCATGTTCTCAAGGACTATTTACATTGTTACAAATGGTAGAATTTCCTTTTTTTTTATTCCATTGTATGTGTGTGTGTGTATGTGTGTAATATTTGTGTTTGTATACACTATTTTTATTCATTTCTCTGTCACTGGACACTTAGATTGTTTCAGTATTTTTATTTTTAGTTTTTATGGTGTATGAAATAGTTCCATTTTTCTTATGTGAAATAATTCATAATTTATAAGTGGGGGAGGGAAAGTCAATTGTATCCGCACCACCATTAAATGTTCATAGTTCTTAAATCTTAAGTTCCTTTTAGGAACTAAGTAACAAACCATTTTTGGTTTGTTTGTTAATCAATCTCCTTTCCTTTCCTCCTTTCTTCCCTCCTTCCCTCATTTCCCCCACTGAACAATTTTTAAATTAGTAACTTCTTTTTACTTTTCTGAAGGATCTAAGGTCTATTCTATTTATTAACTTAATTTTGGCCAAATTTAAACAAGGCTCTACCTTCCCATTTTGAACCTGGTAACTAATTCTGCAAAATAATTGTCTTCCAAAAAGCTTTACTCTTGCTTTACCAGCCTCACTGGCCAGATAAAGAGCTTCTCTGGATAAGGCATGATAAATACCAAAGAGGTTTGGGTGCTAAAATCTTATCCTCACCTTTAAAAAAGAGGATCTGAGTGAGTGTGTGTGTGTGTGTGTGTGTGTGTGTGTGTGTGTGTGTAATCCCCTTGTATGTACCTGCCTTGTCCCTTCCTCGCTACTTGTAAAATGCTATGAGCATAAAAGAAAGCTGGCCTGTCATTCAACTATCACATTGATACAGCTTTAATTTAAAATATTCTCTAGTTGGTCAAAACCCACTACTCCAGGCCTCCAGTGCCCACTTCTTCCCAGTGCCTTTCCCAGTCTCCATATCTCAGCAAATAAAGGGGGTAATCCTTGGCAGAGCTGGTAGGTCAACAGTGGTTGCTAAATGTTAAATATTATGACTATTAGCTCAGCAGGAAATTAAAGCTTTTTTGCAAACTTAAGGGTACACTGAGTAAAGAGCCTTGCGCCCTATTCACAGCTTTGTCACTAGCTAACTATGTGGTATTGGTTAAGCCATTTCTATACCTTTGTGCCCTCAACTCTAGATCAGAAAAGTGATACTATGCTAACTACCATAATAAGATAATTATAAGAGATTGTGAAGTTCTGAGTTTCCCCTGTTGTCTATAGAATTGTCACTGCTCTAGTTTACCCTTTTGTAAGAACGTGTTTTGGAATATTTTCAGACTAACAATATTGCCATAAATACAAAAGGTGGTATTAATCTGCATTACCAGCCTTGCATAACTTGCTGAAAATCGGTTTTTGATTATTGAGTTGATGCAGTTTTGAGTAATAACCCTATACAAATGGTCCCCAACTTACTATGGTTTGACTTACAGTTTTTCAACATTACAGGGGTGCAAAAGTGATATGCATTTTGATAGAAACCAACTAGGATAAGTTGTGATGTTTTGTGGGTTAGGTATATTAAATGCATTTTCATCATACAATGGGTTTATCAGAATATAATCCTATCTTAAGTCATAAAGCATCTATTTTCTTCCAGAAAGCCACTAAAGTTTGAGGGGAAGTGTTATCACTAGTGTTTTTATTTTTTCCTAATCATATTAGGTGTTTATCAGATCAGCAAACAAATCAAAGCTCATGATGGCAGTGTATTCACACTTTGTCAGATGAGAAATGGGATGTTATTAACCGGAGGAGGAAAAGACAGAAAAATAATTCTGTGGGACCATGATTTGAATCCCGAAAGAGAAATTGAGGTAAGGATGGGAATATAAAATTATAATGTTAAATCCACTAACCTAATATCTTCTGTCCTACATTAAGAGAATTTACACTTTCTGGGGAGGTTGGTACATATCCTTCTCATTTCATTTCCTCAGAATGAAAAGAAAAAAGAAATCAATCATTAAAATAATTTGAAAGAATTTTTTTAAAAAAAGATTGGGCAGAATAATTAACGTACTTATTTATTTCTGAGACTTTTTTTCTTAATGATCCAAAATATAACCAGGGTTATATTTAATTTTAATACTGAAAATAATCATTTCAACAGTGAGCTTAATGATAGTAGATAATTATGCTTGTTTCTTCTTCATGATGTGGGCCCAGGTGTATCTATAAAACCTGACAGGTACTATGTTTATAAGGTATTAAATGCTAATTAAATTGAGGTCTCAGATGGTAGAACAGTTAAGAATTGTATTTTAGATCAATAATTCTCAAAGCAAGGGCAAATCTCTTGTTTTAATATTGCCTTTTTTGGGGAGTGACTTAAATTTTGAACTTATTCTAAGTGTATTCTAAACATGTTTTCTAGACAAAATCTCTAAGAGGATCTTGATAGTACTGTTCTTGGGTTTTCAAGAAGATAGATAAGAAAGAATTGCTTTATCTCAGCCTGAAATTCATGCTATTTCTTTTCTTCACAGATTACTTATACACTCTGTATAATACATTATAACTTCTGTATAATAAAATGTAACTGAATAAATTATCATTAGCATAAGATTACCATGTTACTTTCAAATTTGGAATATTGTCACTTATTAACCCATAATTGTTTTCAGCTATTAATGCAGTTTTCAGGTTGTAATTAATGCATGTTAGTATGTGTATGGTAACATTGCAGTGTGGTTTGTTTTGTGTATTTTTTAGGTTCCTGATCAGTATGGAACAATCAGAGCTGTTGCAGAAGGAAAGGCAGATCAATTTTTAGTAGGCACATCACGAAATTTTATTTTACGGGGAACATTTAATGATGGCTTCCAAATAGAAGTCCAGGTAACTGTGTAATTTTAACCATTAACTAAATACTTTTATGACATTTTGTTTCTTTTAGCATAATAACGGGTGTATTTTATTTCAGGGCCATACAGATGAACTTTGGGGTCTTGCCACACATCCCTTCAAAGATTTGCTCTTGACATGTGCTCAGGACAGACAGGTGTGCATGTGGAACTCAATGGAACACAGGCTGGAATGGACCAGACTCGTAGATGTGAGTAAAACAAAATTGGATTATAATCTCCCCACAGAAACTCCCCATACTAGCATTTGGAAGCAGCAAAAGTGAAAGAACTCAGCATTGGTTAAAAGTGTTTAGTAAAGGAGAGAGTGTTTAGTCACAAAGTAGTATTCCATGAACCCACCCTGAAGAAGCAAATTAGCAGAGCAAAAGCTCAATTTTCCCATCAGTTTCCATAGTAAAAAGATTTCACATGTACATGGAGCACTGTTCAGAAATGTTTGGGCCGCTGGTGGTGGTACAGTTGGATTCAGTAAGTGCTGCTCACTAACAGACTTCTTTTTGAATTGGTCTCTTATCCCAACCCCACCAAGATATTCATCTTGTCCAGCCCCAAAAGTGTATACATTTTCTTTGCAGACTCAAAAGAGCTATACACATGTTTGTTGTTATCCTGTTATTATTTCCACTGCCTAACCACAAGCTGGTTGTCCTTTCCCCTCATCACTCTGCCAGCATACCCCTTCCTGCTCTGAAATTCTTTTTCCTCTCATATCCACATAGCTATAAGGATGTTGATTGGGATCCCATGTTTATATGAAACAAGTTATTTTCAAATAGTGTTTGCTACTATTCCTATAGACCCAGTGAGACTTTCTCATGTACTCCCCAACAGCTGTCTGTCTTTCTTCTAGGAACCAGGACACTGTGCAGATTTTCATCCCAGTGGCACAGTGGTGGCCATAGGAACGCACTCAGGCAGGTAGGGTCTTTAAGGGAAATGTGAGCTGAGTGATTTAAAGTGGTGGAATGTTTAACCATTGTTAGGAATGTTGTCAATCTGATCTGGAGAATTTATCTTTTAAGTGGCACACCAATATGCATGTTGGTCTTATGTTACATATACTCTTTCAGTCGTTAGTAATTATTTACTGAGCACCTGCTCTTGGTTAGACACTGCTGTGGGGATTTAAGCTACATGAGAATGCAAGACAAAAATCCCTGGGCAACCCACATTGTAGTGCATGTCAGGGACAGTGAGTCTGGCAAGTGGCTGGGTAAAGAATTTAATTTAGTTTTGATGCAGAATCACCGACCAGTAGACCTGGAGAGACTTAAGCAATCCAGCTGAACCTACCAATTTTGATGGTGACTGTCCTTGGCAAGCCAGCAGTGCAGCTAAAATACCGTTATTGAAGTTTAGCCAGAAACTGTTGACGATAGAGGTTCTAGGCATAAGAAATGCTCCTTCTGCTCAAAAGGGAGATGTCAAAGTCATATCAGGGCTATCTTCTTTGACATAAGTAAACGAGATTTCTAATTAGAAAAGAACAGCTTTTTCCCTCTGTAATTTGGTGTTACTTAACTTGGCCCGTGGGTACTCCTGCGCTCATTTCCCAGGGTGACAGTGTCTCCGAACTCTATCAGCATGAATCTCGCTGCGTTCTGCTTTGTTACAACTCCAGTCCTGAGTCACTCTTCAAATTACAGTCGCTCATTCAACTCCTGCCACTGTAAGGCACTGATTTTGGTGTATGGAGTGGCACCAAGGAATATGAGACATGGTCCCTAGCCCCAAGTAGATTATGTATGTACATAAGAAAAGAAAGAACTTTTATTAGGTTTAGCATTACTTGAATAAACAGGCAGCAACGCTTAGTGATCAACAGAGAAATCACTGTGAGCCTGCGTTGCCAGAGAACACTTCCCAGAGGAGGTGGGGTTGGGCCTGCCTTGGAGGAGCCCCTGGATCTTGAAGAGGCAGTGAAGAGGGAGGAGTCGTGTCAGGCAGGAGGAAATAGACGGAGCAAATTCAGGTCAAGCATGTTTCTAAAGGCTTCTTGATACCTAAACAGTGGAATTCAAGCTTGTTAGCTTGGCCTGTAAAGCCCATTAATGATTTTTTTTTAAGTTTACATTTATTGTTGAAAGGATTACAGAGGTCTCCATTTTATTCCCCCATTGACCTCCCCCCCACACACACATCCCAGGCCTTCACCACATGATTGTCTGTGTCTACAAGTTCTTTGGTTAATCTCTTCTTGTCTCCCCCCTCCACCCCTCACCCCGAAGAAGAGAATGGTCACGTTGTTGACCTGTCCAGCCCCTTTGTACTTCTCTCTTCTTTTTTATTAATCCGCACCCAAGGGTATTTTTCTTTTGATTTTTAGAGAGAGGGAAAGACAGAAAGAGACATCAATTGGTTGCCTCCTGCACAAGCCCTGACCAAGAACTGGGCTGGGAAGGATCCTGCAACCGAAGTACATGCCCTTGACTGGAATCTAACCTGGGATCCTTCAGTCCACAGACAGATATTCTATCCACTGGCCCAAGCCGGTTTAGGGCCCCTTTGTGCTTTCCTGTCTACTCCTCTCCACCTGTTATGTCCCACCTATCTGTGCCACATTTGATGAGATGAAATTCCAGGTCACCTCTATCCTCCCTGCCTTAAATTTCATAATCCTTGTATAATTCATTTTCTCCCCAGTTTGATTACAAACTCCTATTTTGCCTCCTTTCCCGACTCTTTTCTTCTCTGAATCCCTAAATGTTAGTATATCTCAGGCGGAGAGAGATCACACCCTTCCCTGGTGTGAGACGGTGAGAAGCACAGGCCCGAGCTCTGTCCTGGTTCTGCCACTAACTACTTGGTTGATGACTTGTTGGGGGTTTTGGCATCATAGGATCTCATTGTTCTTATTTGAAAAATAAGAAAGTTGAAATGTACTCTTTCCCCGTTTTTTACTTTATACATTTTTTTTCTGATTATAAAAGCCCCATTCCTATTCTTGTATTAGATCATAAAGAAGCAGGGTGGGGGAGGAGGTTATAAACCTGCCACCTAGAGGGTGCACTTTATGTTATGATAAGTATTTTTTAACTCACATGTATTATGAACAGAGATAACTATTCATTTAGGGACTTTAAACTGTGATACTTTCCAACTCTAAAATCTGTATAATTCTTTTTTACCACTAAAGAAATCAGTATAGTGTTTTTTAAAAGGGATAAAGGTACGGTACTACATTTTGGTATTTGACTCACATGTCAGATTAGTTTAAATATATGACCAAAGATTGCTCATCTCCAGTACATTTAGAAAGATCCATTAGGTCCTTGAGGCCATACAGAGCCCCATAATGATTCCAGATTACCTTAAAGCGGAAGCTTAGTTACAGTGTGTATACTCTAGAATAAGAATAAATCCAACACAGTGAAAACTTAAATATTTATTTCTATAAAATTCCCTTTGGTAGAGGACTTGTTATGTTCTCTATACCTTTATTAGGGACAGAGGGAAAAATCTCTCTGAAGGTAGAGCATAATTCATGCATGAAAAGAGTGGGAGCTTTAAAATTATTTCTTGGGGTCCATATGGAAGCTGTTTACTTCCAATAACAAAGTTGTTGGGTTATTACTAAAAATTGCTTACCAAAAGTGGAATTTATCTCTTATAAGTGATTGAAGAAATAGAAAAAGGAGGCAGAGGTATCTTTTGTTTTTCTTGTGTTTTTTTGTGTGTGTTTTTAAATGATTACCATCCCTAATTAGTAAATGACTCAGAGTTTTAGTTTTCTACATGTTATACCAATAAGACATTCTGGGTGTGCGTGTTTTAAATCCTCACCCAAGGATATTTTTCCATTAATTTTTAGAGTGGAAGGGAAGGAAGGAGGGGGAGAGGGGCACATTGATTGGTTTTCTCCCAAACGAATCCAGACTGGAGCCAAGGAATGAACCTGCGACCCAGGTACATGCCCTTGACCGGGAATCAAATCTTCAGTATGCGGGCCAACACTCTAACCAGTGAGCAGCACTGGCTAGGACTCTGAGGTGGTTTTTTTTAAATAACTTTTGAGGGATTTCCAAAATGATAAAATTGTTTGCAGTTTTCCTAGTAAGATTAAACTAATTTGGAAACAGTGTTAGATAGGGCTTCTCCAAAATAATAATTGATAATTTTTGAATGCCTATGGTAACATTTACATAAATTTGTTAAAAACTTGACACCTGCAGAATGGTGCTGTATCTCATTGTTCTTTAGGTATGTCTGTTTAATCTGAGTTGGAATATTTTGCTCCCTTACTGTGAGAGGGCAGTTCACTTGGCTTCAGCTTTGGCACTTCTTGGCTTAGAGGATCGTCACAATGGAAGCCATAAAAGTTGATTAATGAAATACATTCTAAGAAGAAACCTCTAATCTATGGGTACTTTCCAAATGCAATGAAGTGCATTTCTTATATACCTTTGAAATGGAAATGACCCGTAAACTTGTAGCATAAGCTTCAAAGTGCCAGTTTTCTACTTTTAAACTCCAGTATTCACAGATAGAAGCTACTTCTGTTACCTGGATAGAAGACAGAATTTATTAAGTTAGCTACCTGGAAGTTTCAACCCATAGCTCACACGTTACTAAAATTCATTCATGAACTTGTTTAGAGAGCAATTTTATAGTTAAACTAGAGGCCCAGTCCACGAATTCGTGCACCAGTGGGGTCCCTCAGCCTGGCCTGCGGGGATCAGGCTGAAACTGGCTCTCTGACATCCCCTGAGAGGTTCCAGATTGTGAGAGGGTACAGGTTAGGCCAAGGTGCAAGATCAGGACCGGGGAGGGACCGCAGGAGGGTTCCAGGGCATATTTGGCCCATCTCGTCCAGTCCCGATCTGAGGACCCCAGCAGCAAGCTAACCTACTGGTTGGAGCGTCTGCACCCTGGTGACCAGTGAATGTAATAGCGACTGGTTGAACAGTTATACCAACGGTCAGACACTTAGCATATTGGGCTTGTATTATATGTATTATATAGGATAGTTGGGATCTTTTAGTCATTCATCTCCTACCTTGAATTCATTAAGGCATATGAAACAACATCACTAAACATGTTTTTTTAAGTTCTTTAAAGCACTATCCTCTCATAAATAGTATTTATTTTAATCTGAAAGATAAATTATCTCTTTCCAGATATTAGTTATATAATTAGCTGCAAAATTGAAAAGAACTGTTACTTTGATTTCTGTTACTGGCTTATTTTAGTGATGGACTTTTCACATCTGAATAATTAAAAACAAAACTTGCTGCTCTTGTCCTATCTTTTTACCAGAGATTTAAATAGTAATTTTATTTTTCTAGTATTGTCCCATTTTCTCCACCTCAACCATTTATTCCTGCACACTGCATTACTACTAATTCTTGCTAAAATAAAGGTTTTGTCTAAGACATTTTATATTAGTTTATTATTCATTTTACAAATATTATTAGTGCCTGATCTGAGCTAAGCAGAGCTCAACTCTAAACCCCAATCAGCCTCCTCTCACTTATCTAGCCTTTGGTTGTTTATCCTTAGTTCCCAGCCTTTTCTTATAGCCCATATCTTGCCATACTCTTGTGAAACACCATTTTTTCCTTCAAGTGCTTTTCAGTAAGTCATTTATGATGTAGTTGGATTTAAGTTATTATTTTACTTCTCAAGAGGCTTTTACATTTTTACTTTTCCTATAAATGTGAGTGAAAAACTATCAAATTTAGTTTCTCTGCATATGTTAAGGTGTTGGAGAGGCAGAGTGCCCCCTGTTGGTTCCTTTGAAATCACACCAAAACAGCGACTATCTGCCTTTTCCTCTCACCTTCACACTGCATGCTCCCTCCCACCTTCATAGCTTTGCAGCTTTCACTCCTTTTGCCTGAACTGCTGTATTTTCCCTCAGGGTTCAGCTCAACCCATATCCTACATCTTATCCTTCTGCTGCCATTCATTTTCCTTATGAGAGTTCCTCTACATAGTCAGAGGAACTAAGATTGGCACTTGATTGTTTCATTTTAATTGGCTCATTTCCTTTTCCCCACTTCTGATATACATCTTCAGAAACACTGGTCCTGTCATCTTATTCTATTTAGACTAATTAGCAAACAAACACTGTTGGCATTCAGTGAATACCTAAATAAAAATGAACATGTCTAGGCCCATATAAGTATATTTATATTGTACCTAGCAACACTTTGCAAAATGAATTCATCCTTCTTTGGAAGAGGGAGACATGTCATATTTAAGGGTAATACTAAAATTTCTTAATTTTTAAAAAGGGAGAAATGATCAGCAACCATTCTATAAATGCTAATATCTGAAGATTTTTTATTTTTACTCCTTCATAGGTGGTTTGTTCTGGATGCAGAAACCAGAGATCTAGTTTCTATCCACACAGATGGGAATGAACAGCTCTCTGTGATGCGCTACTCAGTAGGTGAGTAGATTTACCCTTACCCTGTTCACAGCATTTCTCTATAACTGCTTATTTTCACTTTTGGTGAAGCTGATTACTGTAGTCTCTACTCTCCATAGAGTTGTAAAGTATTAAATATGTTTTCCCCAGAGTTTCAGATTAAACTCTGCTGCCAGAAACTGCAAAAAAATCTGCTGTTAAATTCTAAATCAAGAAAAAATAAATTTATAATGAACTGTTATGAATGCATTTGCAATTGAAGGCAGAAAACAATGCAATCACCCCATCCCACCCTCTACCCCCACCCAGACCCCCTCACATACACGCTTTTTATTTTGGCACTAAACATACAGTGTGCTTAGAATTTTGCATAGGTATTAGGTTGAATATTACATCTATTTAGCAACCTTTTCTTTGTATATAAGAGAATATAAGATAAATTACAGAATATTAAAAATAATACGAATCTTATAGGCCCTTCAAGTTCTTTAAAATCTAGTGGCATTATTCCTGGTTATATAGTAATGGTTGTTTTGTTAATTATATGGAACTGAAGGCTTGGTTTGTGAAATTTGTGCTCTCAGGGAGATCCTTCAGCCTGCCTGTGCCCTCTCACAGTCTGGGAGCCCTTGGGAGATGTCCCACTGAGGGCTTAGGCCAGGGAGGGGGCCTAAGCCAGCAATTGCACATCCTTAGTCCTGCTGCGGAGGTAGGAGAGGCTCCCACCTCTGCCGCTGCACTGACCAGCCATGAGCCCCACTTCTGGCTGGGCAGCGCTCCCCCTGTGGCATTGGGCCGAAACCTGCTCTCTGACATCCCCATAGGGGTCCCAGATTATGAGAGGGTGCAGGCCAGGCCAAGGGACACTCCCCCACCCCCACCCCTACCGTTGCATGATCAGGGGGAAGACGTCGAAGGTTGGCCAGCTGGAGAGGGGACCGCAGGAGGGCTCCAAGGCATGTCCAGCCTATCTCGCTCAGTCCCGATTGGCTGAACCCCAGCAGCAAGCTAACCTACCGGTCCGGAGGTCTGCCCCTAGTTGTCAGTGCATGTTATAGTGACTGGCCAACCAGTCAACTATCTGCCCACTTGTGGTCAGTGTATGTCATAGTGAGTGATTGAGTGGCCTTAGCATATCATTAGCATATTACGCTCTCATTGGTTGAACAGCCAACCAGTCGACCGGACACTTGGCATATTAGGCTTTTATTATATAGGATACTCAGCAACCCAAGAATTTGATAAATTTGTTTAGCCTTGTTTGAATTAATCTTTGTACTTTATTTAAACTGTTAAGTTTCCATTGTATTCCAATTTTCATTTTCCCTTATATTTATGATTTTGACTCATATCTTTTTTTCCTGGAGTTAGAGTGACATTCATATATATATATATTCAAAAATATATTACAATAATTGGATTAGTATAGGGTTCAAATGATCCTTTTGATTGCTTCTAAGTTTTCTAAGTTGTTTCTTGAGTTGAGAAAGGAAGGAAAAGTATTTGCTTCTATCTATAAGCCTGGCAAGAGTAAAGGCAGAAAAATTTTTGGATTGGCTTATTTCAGTACTGTAATAACAAATAACTACTGCAAATGTAGCAATTAGTATACATGGATCAGTTAGACTTTATTGACCATGTGCTACATGGTATTAATAAGTACAGTAGAGGAGACCACAGAGAAGAGAACATAGCTCCTTCCCAGGAAAACCGACCCTCCATTTGGAAAGGTCCTATGTGCTCAGCTAAAGTGAGCAATTATAAGCTCAGCTTGCCATATGAAATACTATGACTTAGACCCATAAAGCTGGTTAACCTCCATGGGGCCAGATGGTAGCTATATCAGTGTAGCTATTTCTCTAGTCAACACTCTTTCTTGCTTCATTCTAGATGGCACCTGCCTGGCTGTAGGATCTCACGACAACTTTATTTACCTCTATGTAGTCTCAGAAAATGGAAGAAAATATAGCAGATCTGGAAAGTGCACTGTAAGTAGAGAAGTAAGATAAATTGTGAGACTGTTGGAATTTTCGTGTTAAAGGAGTTAACTGTTTACATTGATGTATCTGTTGTTTTCTGCCCTTTAAACTTGAATCTCTATCTTTGAAAACTGAGATTACCTGACAGCAGAATATTACAGTTCCCTATGTACTCTAGAAATTTTCCTCTTTTCTTTAAAATTAAATATTGTTGAAAATATTATGTATATTCCCCCCCCCCCCAATTGACCCCTTCTAGCCTGTCCCCCATCCCCATCCCTATGCCTTCACCACCCTATTGCCTGTGTCCATGGCTTATGCATATATGCATATGAGTTTTTTGGTTTGTCTATTCCCATCCATTGCCATCTTTCTTCAGAGATTCCACAATCTGTTCCATGCTTTTAAATCTCTGGATCTATTTTGTTCATTAGATTCCATATATGAGTGAGATCATGTGATACTTACCTTTCTCTGACTGGCTTATTTCACTTAGCATAATACTCTCCAGGCCCCTCCTTGCTGTCTCAAAGAGTAAGAGATCCTTTTTTACTGCTGCATACTAGTCCATGGTGTAAATGTACTACATCTTTTTTATCCACTCATCTACTGATGGACACTTGGGCTGTTTCCAGATCTTAGTTATTGTAAATTGCGATATGAATCTCATTTATTTATGCACTAATCCTTATTATTTCCTTCCTTCTACTTACTCTGTGTTTTTCTTGTTCTCTTTCTAATTCTTTAAGTTGTAGGGTTAAATAGTTTAGTATTATTTTTCTTGTTTTTTGAGGTAGGCCTGTAGTGCTATGAACTTCCCTCTCAGGACTGTTTTCACTGTGTCCCAGCTCTCTCTTTTTGATGGGAGTTTAATACTTGTCTGTCTCTAGGTTTAAGGTGAGGAATAGTTTGTTAAATCTTTCTATTAGAAACCCTTAGAATAACACATTTTGAAAATGGAATGAGTCAGAAATGAAATAATCACTCACTTTTAACCCAAATGTCCCATGTTTCTGCCCACTCTGGCATCCTGTATTGCCTCTCTGCTACGAACCTGATTTATATAAATATTTGTCTGCATTAAGAGAATTAACATTTTCTTTAATATGTTACCATTTCAGATTAACAAGATTATCAATTTAAGATAAAGATTAAATTCAATTTTTAAAATATACTGAGTACTTACTTACCTTATGGCAGGTACTCTGCTAATGAGATAATTGTTCTAGGCACTGGGAATATATGCAAGATTGTTCCTTGTCCTAAAGAAGTACACATTAGAGCTGAGGACATGCTGAGAAAGGCACTGTACACATAATATAGTAAAAGGCACAGACTTGGAATCAGACTACAGATTCGAATCCTTATTTCACCACTTATAAGCTAAGTGACCTTGGACAAGTTGTTTAACTCTTCTACTTTGATCTGCTCACCTATAAAATGAGGATAATAGTTTCTGCTTCACTGGATTAAAACGAGTTAATGCATATATAATACTTAGAATAGTGCTTGGCACATATATGTTAACTATTATTTTCATAGAAAATGAGGTAGCTTGATGTGTGTGGTGTCAGGAGATTAATTTAGGATTAGCAAATCACTTGAATTAATGATTGTTTGCACAGATTCTTTAGCAGCCTTTATCACAAAATAGTTGCAGGGTAATGAAAGAATTCATTTTTCTTTTCTTAATAAGCAAAATGTAGGCCATTTACTTTTTGAAGAAGAAACCTTAAATTTTTGCATATTTTGTATCATGTGCTAAAAATCAACCTATAATCTGGTCTACAAGCAACCTCAAAGTTTTAGAATTCATCCAAAATATTTTTGTTTGCCTTGACAGCAATTAAGGATCATTTCTATTAATTTATTTAAATCTATCTTTTAGTCAATATATATATATATAATTTAATCTTGTGGAATCATAAAGTTTTACAGGTAGCATGTACTTAACTCAGCCCTAATTTTATGGCTGAAAATACTGAGTTTTGAGATAAATAACTTGTCGGTCACATACTGACACAGTGGTAGATGTGGGACCTGAATCCTATTCTCATCGTAGTAGAGCAGACTTTCTCATGTATGATAATGCCTAGATTTTTCAATATGTATATTGGACTGTGCTCTTAATGCACAACTGATTCAGAAAAGAAGCAGCAATGGTAACAATGGATGAGAATGACCTTGGCAGTGTTAAAAAATGGCAAGCTTATCAGTTACATGAGACTTGGCCTTCTCTGATTGGGCGGCTTTTATCTTTTGAGCATTTCAAAGGATATTTTGAGATATTCCTAGAAACTGTTAAAGTGTATAGTACTGTTTGAGGCTGTAATGAAAGGCTCAGTTACTCCGCTTTTCTAATTACCTCCTGTTTTGTCTTTGCTCCCAGCTGTCACTTCTTACTGTTTGCACCAGCTGGTCCTACAGCTTCTTGGTCACTTCTCTTATCTGTTGTCTGCCATCAGACAGACAAAACCAGCTAATGCTGGCTCTGCCACTTATTAATTTATGACTTCAGGAAAGTTAATTAACTTCTATGAGTCTTAATATTATCATCTTAAAATTGGAGATTATAACAGTTCCTACTTTACAGGATTGTTGCCAAGATTAGGTCTTTTGTTCAAATGTGGCTACTGGAGCTACTCTTGGCATTCAAAGTACAAAAGCTGTTTTCTGTTTTATTTCCAATATTTCCCCGTTAGGAGTCAGCATTTAAGTGACCACCATGGCCACAGAAACCTACTTAGAATTTCAGAATATGTCCCTCTGGTAAGTTGTAACCAGGAGGGGGAGCTGTCCCCCTTCACAGCATCATGTTCTGTCGGAAGGCCAGTCTGGAAGATGGCCAGCTCCCAGGCACATGAAGAAGCACTTGTTGGCCAGTCGGTGGTGTGCTTGAGGAGGTCAGTACAGGCCAAGGCCTGGCTTGCAGTCTCACAAGCTGAGAAACAAGACAGGATCGTTGTAGAAAGATGGACTTACACCGTCCAAGTTCTCCAAAGCTGGTGTTCCAAACATCACTTTATAACAGGAACTGTAACTGGCAAGGAACTGAATCCTAGTTTCCTCTGTCAATCAAATGTTCTTTCTATAAGCAAGCCTCAGGACTCCAAGTCATAACCAGAATGCCAGTTTATTCATTTAAAGTAAAAGACATAAATGCCAAGTAAAAAAAGTAAAAGACATACACCAAATGATTTGGTTTAAAGGGAAGTGCTGTCTAGAGGATCCTCACATCCTAGGGGACAGGATCCTCTAGACAGCACTTCCCTTTAAACCAAATCATTTGGTCTGGCCCTGCCAAGGCACTGGGGGTGAGTGAATTAAATGTTTGACCAAAGATAGCAGGCTAATTTTTAAGTTGATGATTTTGAATGGCCCACAAATGATGTTATAAATATCTAAATGGCCCTTCGCAGAGAAAAGGTTCCCACCCCTGCAAACAAAAGAATGCCTATGAAATCCGAGTATCATCAGAAGGTACGTGAGCTCACCGTAGGGTGAGAGCTGCCACGGGACTGGTCTTGGTTGCGGTCCCTCTGCTCTGCACATTGGGTGGGTACTGCCCACATTTGCCTCTGTGACTCCTCTTCCGTTGCGGACCACTGTCCCCACACCCCTACTTGAATAATACTGTCTTTGGATAGATTCATACATGCAGTCAGATTGTACTTTAGACTTGCCGGCTTTGGAGCTATTATGTCTCTTACCTTTTTTTTTTCTGAGATTTGGGGGAGAAACCCAATTATAGTTTCCATAAACACACAAAATTTGCTCTTCCATTCATTGAAATGTATTTCCATTTTCTTCTGACCCCAGATATCTTTGAATCTTCCTGAAGTTTATTCTTACCCACTTAAAATTTCAGTATTTAGAAAAACTTCTCATAAACTCTAAATGTAGAGATTTGTTGTATATTCTCTCTTCTAGGTGTTCTTTAGAAATGTTGTCTGACCTTATTCAGAATCATAAATTTTTAAGCATATAAAGGGCAGACGAGAGCATTATCTTGTCAATATCCTCATTTGGTGAATAAGAAAAGTAAAGCAACTATAGCAGGAGCTCATTTATCACAGTCCTTTGTTTTGTGTCCTAATCCTGCTGAGCAAGCCAGTCTGAATTAATACAGTTACGTTGTAGTATAAGTACATGCATAAACTAAGTAGTCTCTAAAAGTGACACGTCTGAATTAAAACTTTGATGTGTCTATGTTCAGTCCTTGGAACTCTGGAAAACCTCACCATATGCTAGAGAGTCTAGGTGAACACATCGGTTACATCTTTTTCACATACCCTGCCACTTCCCTTTTCTCTCTCCCATTTCTAAACCCTTGCATTTAGTTCTAAAACAATCTTTGTCTTGTTAGGAGCAAATAAAAAAAATAGGAGCAGTAGAAACAAGGACATTCATCTTTTAGATAGAGCACAGCTCAGCATTTGCTTTTACAGATTAGTGCTCACGTGTGCTGCCTCAAAGGTTTATGTTAAAAGTAAATGAACATATTTTCTGCTGAAGTTGCTCTTGCACTTGCTGTTACTGGCAAATGACACCTTCTCACAAGCACACACATCAGGTTTGTTTACTGGACGTGACTGGGCCCGGCCCAGGGATCTTCCAAGAAATAATCTGCTCTTGCTGAACCTGGCCTCTGTGGGTCGGCTGAGGAGTTGAAGGGAAGAGAGGTGAGTGGAGCTATCCTGTGAACTCTTCCTCTCTGCCAGCCTTCCACTTCCGGTCCCGTGGCTGCCTCTGCCCTCTCACTCCCGAGGGTATCCCTGGGAGCAGGCTGTCTCCCAACCTCCGTGCGGCACTCACTCCAAAACTCCACGGCCTCCTCTGTGGCGTTTTGTTTCTCTTATCACATCATGTGATTTAGAAGGGCATTTTTAATTTCACTTCCCATGAGAACTTCCATCTTCATAGTGTTTAGTAAATATTTTAAAAAGTGGTTTGACTAAATTATAGGATTCATGAGTTCGTGATTGTATCCTATATTCACTGTGTAAGCAGTTTGATTTTGTAACTGCTGCTATAGAAATCCTTTTAAGGCTTTGGATTTAGAAGCTTTTTTTACTTTGTCTCCTGCAAAGCCCTAGGATTTGGGGTTGGGGTTGGGGAGTGGGGCTCACATGGATCTGATTTTATTTGCTTTACATACTGGGCTTCTCAACTATGATTTAATATGACAGAAGGGTTTTAGAGCTAAAAAGAACTTAAAGGCTGCTGGTTAATGTTCTCAAAGATCCCTGAATCTTTTGCGTTTTGAGTGTTGTAAGATTTTAGTTCTATTCCTTTCCATATAGTGTTTCTTGACCTCAGCCTTTCCTGTACTGTTTTACAGAAAATGTACTGAAAAGTTTCCTGATTACTTATAAATTCCTTTTTTTAAATGCTACTTTTACAGTGCTTTCTACTCGCCGTCGTCAGTGTTACAGAAATGAGAGATCAGCATGATTTCAGTGCTGGGTTTAATTTGGTCCAGAATCATCATCTGATCTGGGTTTGAACTCCGGTTCCAATACTTTTTTGTTTTTTAATATATTTTTATTGATTTCTTTCTTTCTACTCCACCATCATCAATAAGATGCTGGGACTCCGGTCATCACATCCCAGTTGCAGGAGGAAAGGAACAGAGAAGGGAAGAAAGGCCCTCCTCCTGCTAAGTCAGTTCTCTGAGAATTCTCCTGGAAGCCCCTACTCAATGGCTTCGGCCACCTCTGGCTGCAGAGGAGTTTAGGAAACAGTGCCTTAGCGGGGCACGTGAGGAAAGGGCAGGCTGAATTAAATATGCAACTCTCAGTCTACACTCTGAAGATCAGCTTTCTCTCAAACCAGCAAAAGCACGTCAATACTACAGTGGAGGAAAACCCTATTAGCAAGACCAAGAGAAACCTTAGATGCTTTGTAAATAAATGGAGCAAGGAAAGCACAGGAAGCTAAGTAAAACATGGCTGAAAGACAAAACAGAACTATAAAAATAGAGACATGTTTCTAAATGAAAACACTTGATAAAAATATCTTTTTCTGTAAATTATTATCTAAATATGATGCGCTCAGATTTTCATCGTATTTATGAGCTTGATAAAATGGTTCTGAAAGTCATCTGAAACTTTCCATATACCACGAGACTATCACAGTTGGCTGGGAATAGGCAAACAGACTAATGGGATAGAAAGAAGAATCAGAAACAGATCTCTGCTTATGTGGAAATTTGCTAGGTGATAAAAAAAAGATCTGAAATCAGTAGAGAAGGAATGAACTGTTCTCTACCTGTGTTATCTAGCAGCGCAGCTACTAACCACAACTTTCTGGTTATGTAATTAAGCATAGTTCAGTTCCCTGGAGTACTGGCCACATTTTGAGCACGCAGAACCTGCAGATGGCTAGTCGCTGCTGCATTACACAGCACAGAACATTTTCATCGCTGTGGAAAGTCCCGTTGGACAGCATCGTTGTAGATGGTGAGGGGACATCTGTGCGCCTACCAAGGAAAATAGATCCCTAACTCTGGGCTTTGGTAGATTGCAACCACTGAGTAGATGATCCTCCATGCCATAAACAGAGATTTAGCTAAAATATTTTATTTTTCTGTGGTAGTATTTTGAGGCTTCATCATATATGAGTATTATTGTAGTCATATCCCTCAGCCAGTTAATGGCAGGAATAAAGGGGCCAGCTTAGAAAATATTCCATTTCTTTTTAAGGAGGTATGCAGGGTCTTGCTCCCAACTATGTCTTTGGCCTTGTGGTGACATCTGAGGCTCTTTGGCCATGAGCTGTGCATGTACCTTCCATGTCCTGTGAGTTGAGTGGGCAGGGACACGCTGATTTTGAGAATACAGTGATTTGCCTTCTAAATATGTTCTGTGTCCAACATAGATGTGAGTTACATGAATATGTGTACATACAATGCTTTTGATCTTTAATGCTATTAAAGAGATTCAGATAATTTTTATATACTGCATTAGGATGAGCAGTTCTTGGGCAACAATTCTTCGCCATGTCTGATTTGGTTAAATCCTTCACTCATGTAGCAGTTTTCTTCTCTTGGAAGCATGGTTTCTACAGATGCCAGAGCAAGGCATCACATTCATGTGAACTATGAAAAGGGTATGTGTGAGCTCTGTCCTGCTGCTGTATTCAGAAAACATCCGGTAACCATGTGTCTTTCTGGCTTTGAAAACTGATTTCTCACTAAGTTGGTAGGCCTGTGTGCCTAGCAAGTGGTTCCCAATGTGTTTTTCAGTATACCATTTTAGGAAACTTCTTTAGCTTTCAAATTCATATAATTTAAATTTATTTAAACATATGAACTTGCCATGCAGCACTCTGGGGAGGTCGTAGCTCCAGATAGGTTTTAGGACATGTCATTAGATTTCAGAAGGGTAAGAGAATAATTAGAATACTTTGTATAAATAATTAAAAACTATGCCTAAAATATTTTAAATTTATTAACTTAAAAAATAAAACCAGCCAAAACCGGTTTGGCTCAATGGATAGAGCGTCGGCTTGGGGACTGAAAGGTCCCGGGTTCGATTCCGGTCAAGGGCATGTACCTTGGTTGCGGGCACACCCCCAGTAGGGGGTGTGCAAGAGGCAGCTGATCAATGACTCTCTCTCATCGATGTTTCTAACTATATATCTCTCTCCCTTCTTCTCTGTACAAAATCAATAAAATATATTTTAAAAAATTTTTAAAAAATAAATAAATAAAACCATATGCACTGAAAGCTAGTAATTTAAAAAGTACTTTATAAATTATGTTTTACCATATACTGTAAGAGATGAAAAGTGATTTTGAGTCTCTTTGGGACTTTGGTAAACTGATAACACCTATGCGATTTATCTGAAGTAGTTTATTAGAAATCAGCTGTGTATATGTGATGCCAACAAAATAACAGCATTTTGGAGGTTTTCAGTTCCCATAGTATTAGTAAAACCTAAGCAGAAAAAGATCACTGTTTTCCTGTTTAAGGAATGTTTTAAGGGCCCAGCTGTTCTGAAGGAGTACAATGTTGGGTGACTTCCAGAATATTCTTTGGAGATAGGAGTGTTCTAGGACAGCCACCGGCTGGCAACCACTGTTCTAGGAGACTATTGTATGTGTGCGTCCGGATGTGCCTTGGATACTCCAGAAGCAGCCCAGGAAAATGATACAATGTGAACAAACTGGGACCAATACTTCATTCTCAAAAATGAAGTGACTCTAACAGGGGCATCAGTGATCTGAAATATGGCCTGAGGGTATGGTACCTGTCACAGTGTTCTTTAAGGCACAGTTTTCAAGACTGTCTTTCTTGGAAGTCCCCAACAGATCAATAGTGGCTGGTACCTAAGAGGAGAGGCCAACAGGATGCTCCCAGGTTCCCAGTGCTTACCAAACACCGTGGTGAGACCTCTTAGCTTGAGTTCTGCTTGAACTCTTCGTGTATCAGGGGCATCTTCGCATACCTGCCTCTTTGGCTTCCAACGGGATAGAGTGAAATGGGACTAAAGAGCTGCTGTGAGCCCTGTTCAGTTCTATAGGTTGTGATACTGCTCTATACATTAGGAATTCCAGGTGAATAGCTACTCAGAAAACAGTATTGGCTAATTATTGAACTTTTTATTATGCAAACTCTACCTGCTTTCTAATAGGTGATCTATCTACTGTTTCCTAGGGACATTCCAGCTATATCACACACCTTGACTGGTCCCCAGACAACAAGTATATAATGTCTAACTCGGGAGACTATGAAATATTGTACTGTAAGTATGAGTGATCGTGTGTGCTGAGGGTGTCTGCCAGGGGCCCTGATGAGCGGGCTGTGTGCTGTCTGAATTGTGTGGAGCATGCATGCTGGCCTCTCTAGCCCAACAGCATATGTTACTCTGAGCTAAGGAATGAGAATCTCAAATGTGCTTCACTTCTCCAAAAAAGGAATGAGTTCATTTAAATGTGCAGACATGTCATAAGAAATGAACTCAGCGAGTTTGATGCTGCTCTGAATGGTTTTGTATTTACTCTTTCTGGAGATAGGAAAAAGTGTTTTAAAGTAAACTCTTTTTTTTTTTTCCTTTTTAAATGTGCCTTAATGTTTTTCAGTGTATGGATTATAAATCCAAGTAAACGTGGCTAGTTTGAATCATATACATTTATACACAAACACTGATTATACTTCCTGTTTCTAAATTTAAAGGGAACATTCCAGGTGGCTGCAAACTAATCAGGAATCGATCAGAGTGTAAGGACATCGATTGGACAACATACACCTGTGTATTAGGCTTTCACGTCTTTGGTAAGGACGTGATACCTGCTGGGGAAAGGTTGTGGGGTTTTATAGATAATTATTTGCCTGAATTCCTAAATGAAATAGTCTATATGTGTTCTTTCATGTTATCGCTATCAATGCCAGATTCAGAGAAATTAAACTGATACAACGTGTGTTCTCTGCAGAACCCAGACTTTTAGCCCTTGATAAATAAGAGAAAGGAATTTTACATAATAGCACAGATTGCCTGTCCATTTTTTTTTCCTCTAAGTGAAAATTGAAACTTAAATTTGTAAAGGCATTTTTATAACAGCTTTATTGAGGTATCATTCACATACTACACAGAGCACCTAAAGTACACAATTCAGTGGTTTTAGTATATTCACAGTTGTGCTTCCATCATCACTAATTTCAGAACATTTTCATCACTCCAAAAATAAACCCTTCACCCATTCGTAGTCACTCCCACCTCCACCCCATAGCGGCCACGAAAATCTATACTTCCTCTAATGATTGGTCTATTCTGGATAGCACTTATAAAAGAAATCATGTAATATATGAGCATTGAGACTGGCTTTTTTTTTTCATTTAGCATATTTCAAGTTTTATACCTGCTGTAGCATGGATCAGTACTTCGTTTTATGGGCTGAATAATCGCTGTTGTATGGATATACCACATTTTGTTTTTCCATTTATAAGTTGGACACTTGAGTTGTTTCCACTTTTCAGCTCTTATAAATAACTAGAGACCCCAGTGCATGAAGATTCAGCAGGCCTGCCCCCTCTCACAGTCCGGGAGTCCTCAGGGACAGGTGACCAATCCTAGAAATCTATCCTGAGAGTTTTCTAACTAAGCCTTTCCCAGTCAGTAGGCATCCTTCTGAAAAAGAGGATAAATGGAAAAGTTAAAATAATAAAGCCGTGTTTGCAAAGAATTAAAAATAAGTGTTATACACAGAAAATACAATAAAAAGGATGAAGCACAAATACTAAAGCAATACCCAATTAATACTTTTCCTTTTAACAGTCTATCTCTGCCTTCTGAAAACGGCTCTCCCATCCAGCATAAGTATAGATCTGAACACTTCTCTATGCTATGTACATTGGAAAAATAATCCATTGTCGGTGCTTTGTTCTAAAGACAACTACGGTAGAGATGGAGAAGCCTAGGCGAGGAAGAAATGAAAAACAAACTAACCCTGACTATTCCATAAACAATTTCATTATTCGGGATGAAACTAAGACAGTGGCCAGTAACTAATAACTTACCTAGTTATTTTAATGAAGCAATATGTAATACTTATTATTCAGAAGTGTTTCAATTTATTTTACCAAATTTATCAAACATAATTGTTCTCTAAAGTAGCATTGAACCACAGGAGGCTAGCACTTCAACCCTATATATTCTATAGTTTTAATCTAATAGAATTTTGTGCTATGTTAAACATAATCACCAATGCCTGGTAAAGATTAAAATTAAGTTTGCTTATCTTTGGACATAAATAATAGTTACCAGAAATTTCTATGGGCTATCTGGTAGACTAGATTCTCTGTGAAGTTTTCTTTAAAGGGTCTCTCTGTGAAAGAGGACATAAATTTTACACAGCTTACCCAGAGTCCACTTTGAAGAATTAGTGAGTCCCACAGCTTTGTTTCTGCACCTTGCTATACGAGTCACTGAGAACTTCCCGAAGTAGAAACCTAAAAAGGAAGAGCTTATTGGTGAGTTAAGCTTCAAACTAAAGTTACTTTAGCACCACCTGCTGGTTAATAGTGAGTACTTCTGTATCATTAAATCTTCCATCTAAAGGCTATTTGGACTTAAAATTTTACTAGAGGCCCAATGCATGAAGATTCTTGCAAGAATAGGCCTTCCTTCCCCTGGATGACAGCATTAGCTTCCCTCCGGCACCCAGGACCCGGGCCTTGGCTCAGGCCCTGCGCCCTCCTATAGCTCCCTCCCTCCTCACCCCCTATAGCAGGTGCCCCGCCCTACCCCAGCCTTTCAGTGATAGCTATCTTTGTCGCATCGATTTGCATATTCCCTCCTTATTGTTGTGGGCTCTGCCATCTTTATTGTGGAGTGATGGTCAATTTGCATATTACTCTTTTATTAGATAGAATTATTAGTTAAACTTTGGGTAAAGTGTTGAGCCACTAAGAAACTGTTAGGGGAAAATGTTAGCAGCTAAGAGTTTGAACACAGATGAAAATTAGTAAGGTCCTAAAATTAAAAGAACCTATGTAGCATCACAGTTATCAGTTATATTTTTCAGGCTAATTCTTCTGCACCCCTATGTTCCCATATCAAAGGTGTCTGGCCAGAAGGATCTGATGGGACAGATATCAATGCACTGGTGCGATCCCACAATAGGAAGGTGATAGCTGTTGCTGATGACTTTTGCAAAGTCCATCTGTTTCAATATCCCTGCTCCAAAGCAAAGGTAAAATTAATTTAATAAAGACTAGCATTACAGCGCCTTTTGTTTGAGGATAATTTTGTGTCAGTGGCACAAAAATATCTGTATGGTTACCAATCACTGTCCATGATCCTGGGAGGCACGGGGGGGAGAACAGGGCCAGCCATCTGTGAGTGTCCAGGCCTCGCTTGTCTTCTCTTTCCTCAGTAAGGACAAGAAGTTAATTACAGAAGGCAGCTGATGACGGTTCATTCATTTTTGTTTATTGTGCATTCGTTTACATTTTGGCAGTTTTAAATTTCTCCTGAACACATTTTGTTACATTTGTGATCAGCATTATAAAACTCATGAGAACTATTTCCTAAGTCACCTATAATCCTGCCAACCTAGTAAATTCTTCTCTGGCCATCCAATAGAATAGTTACTAAGTATACTAACTTTTTCCTTACATCCCCACAAATGCCAAACATTTAAAAATGTTCAGGCCAGTAAAGGAATCCTTGGAGGATTCAACCCAAAAGAGATGGGCTTTTATTTTTTTTAACTATACAGTCTGAAGTATACATGTCTAATTGTTAGGCTTTATTTCTGCTCAACAAACAGGTATTAAAGGGAAATTGCTGCTAGCTTTATTCCTCAGATTGAATGACTTGTGGCTTTCATTTCCTGTGGACTTCCCTCTTTACCTTGTCACCTCCATTGCTGTAAGAACGAGTTTAATTTTCCTGTCTGGTTTATTTCATATAGGCTCCCAGTCACAAGTACAGTGCCCACAGCAGCCATGTCACCAATGTCAGTTTCACTCATAATGACAGTCACCTGATTTCAACTGGTGGAAAAGACATGAGCATCATTCAGTGGAAACTTGTGGAAAAGTTGTCTATGCCTCAAAACGAGATTGTAGTGGACACTGCTTTAACCAAAGCCCCCATCTCTTGCATTGAAAGTGTCACGCAGTCTGATACTCCCGCACCACCTCCTTCCCAGCACTTAAGTGAGACAGCTGAAGAAGCAAGTAGAATAAGCAATTCTCCCACACTCCTGGAGAACAATCTGGAACAGATTGTGGAGCCCAGTGAAGACCACAGTGAGGAGCAGAGCGAAGGGGGCAGTGAAGACCTCGGGGAGCCTGTTGACGAAGAGCCATCCAATGAGATGAGCCAGGAGCAGAGGGAAGCCCCTCATCCTGAGGACCAGCAAGACCCTCCGCCTCTCTCCTAACCCCAGGGCTTGAGTATATGTGATATTGAGCTAGAGTTCAGATAACAGGACAGGAAGTGATGGAGGATCGCTATTGACCAAGTTTTTTGGTTTCCATGTGCTTAGTTTTCTTCAGTAGTATCATCTTCAATCAAATGGAACTGACCTAACGGCTCATTTTGGTGTGCGTGGAAGATGAACCAGACCTAGTAGAAAAGAGTAAAATGTTATGTCTCAGAAATTACTGTGTGTGAAATTAAGTGGTGTGATGTAAATACTGGAAGCAAAACAGCAGTTGTATTGATTTAAAACAAACCCCTTGTTATCTGAACATGTTTTCTTCAGGAACAACCAGAGGCATCACAAATACTGTTACTCACCTACTGGCTCAAACTGCTACTTTTCTCCTGGTGCAGAAAAATAAATCAGAAAAGAAAAAGAAAAAAAAAAAAAAGCTCCCTTACCGAGATATCCTCCTCCCCCAAATGTGTAGTGGAAATTTTTCAGTTGAGAAAAACTCAGTATTGCCACCGGCAGTGGAGTTGCCTTCTTGAATAATAATGCCATTTCCTACACTACGGTAGATAGCCAGGTCTGCTTGTTACTATGTAGGTGCTGCCTTTTCTAATTTCTTGTGTGCGAATCTATTTTATTTTAGAACTAAGAAAGCAGTAGTTTGTTACAGAGCTTTTAATGTATATTAAACCATTGATATGCAGAAATAATGGATTCCTCCAAGGATTCCTTTACTGGCCTGAACATTTTTAAATGTTTGGCATTTGTGGGGATGTAAGGAAAGGGAAACCACATGCCTATAAAATTAAATTGTAATTACTAGGATAATTTTAGTTTAGACTTCAACATAATTTGTTCCCTCAATAATAGCAGAAATATAAATACAGTACATTTAAATAATTGGTGCTTGGAGTTTATTGGCTTAGCTATAATTTTTACACAGATTAATTATATTGCGGGATAAGATACACAGCAAATTGCAAATTCTTTTTTACAGAAGTGTGATAACAGTCATAATTCTTTTTATAAATTGCATACTTAATAGATTTGCTATATGTGGTCATTTTTCTCCGGTGGAAGTTGCTCTAATATAAGCCTTGCAATTCTAATGTGGTTATCCTCTGCTAGTTTAGGCAATGCATGTATTATTATGCATTGGGTAGTAGTTTTTGTTTTAAGTTTTGTCAGATGACTTTGTTTTTCTTAAGTACGTGTTTCCCTACTTTAAAAATAATTACTGACAAATATTCATTTCCTATATGTTTGTTTATACTTGGATTATAAAAAAAAAACTTTTATTTTTTAACTTGCTGCAAGTTTTGATACCTTTTTTTTGTTGTTAGAATATGTTTAGAAACTTTGGATGAGTTCAGAAGTCTTAAGTATGCAAGTGTTTACATGATTGTGCCATTCCAAAGTGCATCAGAACTGTCATTCCCTTCTAGCATCTTCTCAGGAGTAACACAAATCAGGTATCTCATCACCATTTGGTAACACACAAACTCCAGTAACTCCCAAGGACACTCACACGTTTATGTTCACAGGCTGTCTGTAAGGGTGTGGGTATGTGTGAAGGGGTGCGTGTAGACACTTACTCTGTGTTTGTGTGTATCTCTACATAAGCAGATACACACCGCATTGAAAATATTCAATGTATATCTCTAGGTGTACAGATATATGTTCGTGTGTATCTCTTTCCTTTTGTTTACAACTGTTCAAAAAAAACCTCAAAGTAGCTCTCTTCAACAGAAGAGAGGTAGATTCCAAGCAGCCCTTTTTTTTTTTTTTTTTTTTTTTTCAGTGTGTTCTGTACATAATTATCAGAGAGAGGATCAGTATCAGGCACATATATTTGCCTATTAGCAGTGGTGACTAAATGATTAGGTCAGCATGTGCTGTCCCCTACAAGAAAAATACTATGAGATGAACAAGTAGGAAAGCATTTCTTTAAGCTTTCAATGACAACGAGGGGGATTATGTGGGGACATCAGTCACCTTTGGGGTTGCTGTGTACAACGAAATTTATAATCGTGATACTCTTGGGTGGTAGTTTTAAGACACTACTAATACGCAGAAAGCGTTCCAGCTCTTGCTGGCAACTACTGTTTAACAGTCAATCAAATCTGTGATAATGGTTGGAAGTGGTGGGATTATGAAATTGTAGTTTTTAGAAAAACTTGTGAATGAAAATGAATCCAAGTGTTTCATGTGAAGATGTTGAGCCATTTCTATCATGCATTCCTGTCTCATGGCAGAAAATTTTGAAGATTAAAAAATAAAATAATCAAAATGTTTCGTTTGTCTCTCTAAATGTACCTTAAACTCTCTTCACTTATATTGCTAGTTGCCATGACAGTCCCTTTATTAGAAAACATGACAATTATCAGTTGATCACGGTTGCTGTTATGGATACAACCATTCTGGCAATAAAAATCTCCATCTCATAATATTAAAGGAAATTACTTATGATTTATGCTTCCACTTAATAAGGGGATAGCTTCACTTTAATTTATTTCATGTCTATACTTTCTCTAATGTTTAACATTGGGTAATCCTAGTGATCCTGATTCCACTGCCTCCCAGTATTAGCCTTTGTGAAATCCTTGAACTCAGTAGGACCATGTATCCCTTGATTTCTCCATCTCTCCCATGTTGCTTAGTGACAAGGATCCTGTGTACACAACCATAAATTGGCTGCTACATATTTTTCCTATTTGAAGAGTTAGAATGAGAGTATTCCATACATTCCCCAACTTTATAATCAAGAAATGATGGGGTATTCCTCATTACCTTACTCACCTCTGGTGACTGATACAGCCACGCACATATACAGGCCTATCTCGCTTCATTGCACTTTGAAAATGTTTTTTGTTTTCTTTGACAACCCTGCATCAAACATCTATCAGCACAATATTCCAATAGGCGCAGATGATGCTTAGCATTTTTTAAATATCACTTTTTAAAATATATATATTTATATTTTATTGATTTTTCACAGAGAGGAAGAGAGAGGGATAGAGTTAGAAACATCGATGAGAGAAAAACATCGATCAGCTGCCTCCTGCACATCCCCCACTGGGGATGTGCCCGCAACCAAGGTACATGCCCCTGACCGGAACTGAACCCAGGACCCTTCAGACCACAGGCCGATGCTCTATCCACTGAGCCAAACCGGTTTCGGCAATATCACTTTTTTAATACATATTGCTATTGTACACTTAAGAGTATAGTGTAAATGGAACTTTTATATGTACTGGGAAACCATGCTGGGTAACAAGGTGCAGTAAATCCTACGGCAGGGACACAGAACTTTATCCCACCGCTCTCCCCACCCCGCCAGCTGGGAATGTGGACTTCAGGAGACAGAGGCTGCAGACAGGCCCAGGTGAGGACTCTGGCCCCTCACCCGGCAGGAGTAAGGCCACCCACTACCAAGGCACGAGGCTCAGGGGCAGTGAGGTCACGGTTACCGCAAAGGGCAGCACACGCACCTCCTGACCACCAGGTCCTCAGCTCCCTAAGGCCTGCCCACACTGGCCTGGGCTGGGCGGGGGACCATTCCCTAGCTCCCGTGGCCACAGGACATGTTTTTGCAAATTACACATCCTGCCCTACCCCAGCCTCCCTGCTGCAGTCTCGGCCTACTTCCTCTGGCATGGCACCTTCTGATACTCAGTGAACAGGGTCCGACTACGGGAGAGATGGGCAGACGCATACATAGATAAACCGATTTTCCAAATGACCGTTTCTTCTAGAGGACACGAATCCAGGAGAAAAGGGAACAGACAGCACGCATAAACAAAGGCCCTTCTGTGTGACTTTAATTAGAATGACAACCAACTGAAAACAATTGAATGTTGGTTCATGAAAGGTTAATGAGATTCATGCTTTGAAGATGCAGAATGCAACACGGATGTAGCCAGAAACACATTTCTAACCTCCATTCTCTTTAATTATTCGGTCAGAATAATTTCCCAAGAGCAGTTTTAGTCTCTGGGTGGTTTTAATTAAATACCACTGAACTTTAAGTTAACATCAACGCATTCAGCTGCAACTCAATTTTCAGATTAACCTGCTGTCTAACACGAGGGTGTTGTGGCCTAAGCCGGGGTGTGGTGGGGGAGGGGAAGATGGGCAAGGAGCCTCATAGGTATGCACCAATTCTAGAACATTTCCCATCCTTCCCCAACCTCTCCAGTGGCCAGGAAATGGAACCTGTCAAGAGCCCTGGCTCCCAATCCTGCCCTCAGGAGACACCCCTGTCTTCTGAGCTGACTTCTGGCCCTCCACCCAGCCCCCAGGTCTCTGCCTCACTCTTTTTCTGCCTTTGAAAACCAAGGTCCCTGCTTTATCCGTTGGATTTCACAGCCGTACCGAGACCCTTTTGCAACGAGTTTCTGCTGCTTCCTAAAACGTTTTTCCTGCTGGCTGGGAGGCTACCGGACATTTCTCCCAGCCTGGGGGCAGCTTTCCTCAGAATGAGGTATTTGAAGTTGGCAGAGTCTAATCTACCTAGTGCGTGTTGGCAACGTGAAGGTCAGGTACTTTGGCCCTGAGGTACAGCCACGTGACGATGACAAAGCTTCACAAGAAAACGCCTGACGGTCCAGGAGGGCTGAATTAGCACTGGAGGAAAAAGTGTTATCTAAAGAATGCTATTCCCAGCCCTCTGCTTGACCTTTTCCATTAGCGCCTGCAGCCGCTTCCTTGGAAAGCAGCTGTAACACTCTGCACCCTGAGCAACAAGCACATCTGGCCTCAGTCTGCCCATCCAGGACAGCCTGCAGCAGCACCGCGCCTGGTTACACCGGGTCAGGAGTCCTGCTGAAGCTCATCAAGTGACGGCTGCTGACGGCAGGAGATGCAGATGACCCATCTGCTCCCACACCACCTCGCAGGGTGGCTGAGTCACCACAGTTGCTCTGTTCAAGTCTCGAGAGCAAGGTCAGCTGATGCCGCCCTCACAACCATGAGGGTACACACACCCCTACAGCCAAGGTGCACATTTCCCAGAAGGGAATCCACAGCCACAACCCCCCCCCACCACCACCACCCACATCTACCAAGGGGAATGTGCCAAACTCCACATCTACCCAGGGGAGTGAGGTAACCAAACCCCAACCATCCCAAGGAGCTCCCCAAGGGAAGGGAAAGAATACAACAGTAAAATTGCTCTGTAACAAAAAGTTTCTCAGCCAAATGACTTACTAACCCTAAGAGATGAGAGATACCCTAAATAGGACCTAAAGTATTTTTTTTACTTTAATATTTAAAAATAACATTTAATTTTGAAAGAGTGCTTGCTTTTAGGGCAAAGGTATCTGATTCATCTTTGGGTCCCAGCACTTGGTAGTACATGTTTTAGCACTAACTAAATATCTGAAAGCAGCAGAGCCTACTGGCTGGCTGGTTTTGATTTATATACTTTTTATAGGGGACTCCTTGATGACCATGAGTCAGAGGGGCCCTAGAAAACCAAGGATGACAGTACCCCACTTCTCAACTAACCCGCCACGAGCAGTCTTTGGTGATAGATTAGAGTGATCCAACCCAGGATATGTGCAGTCAAATGTCAAATAAATGTACTAAATCACTGGGACCAGATAGTATCTGAATTTCTAAGCAATCAATCACTATTGCCCCTGGTGTATCCTCTAGCTATGGAAGATCAATGGGCCAGAAAGTCGGGCAGCCTGCTCACAAAGAGGAGAAAAAGTATATAAATCAAAGCCAGCCGGCCACTATTACAAGTCACTCCCACCCTCACGCTGACATTGATAGCCTCACTCCAGAGTCACACTGGATGAGGGGCCCGGAAGGAGAAGGAAAGTTAGAACCTGAAAGGGCATCTGCTGACAGAACAAAGAACGAATAAGAAAATATGGCAAAGAAGCCATCTGCAACCTTCCTTGCTTTTGTCCACCCTAAAGAATCTTGAAAATCTTTGTGTAGCCTTTTGCATATGAAGTTTAACTAAAACCTTTCATTATAAGTGAAAATAGCTGCACAGAGTAGTTTCTGGTGTATTATAATAAATAAGGGCTTAAACTATTAAGTCGCAATCACCTTGCCCCAGAGGCAATCCTTGCGAGGCCCAACTGCGCCTGGGTGCTGGGGCACCCCCTTCTGCACAGGCTGGCTCCCCTGGGTTTCTGGGACCTGCAATCTGAAGCAGTTTGGCTCAGAGAAGTCAGCAGAGACTGATCCTGAGGAAGGCAGCAGACGGACTGAGGACATTAATGGCACTTTCAAAAGGACCTGGACACTAGTGGGCAAGGTACATGAATAGACAGTTGACTACAAAAAATAAATAAATAAATAAGTAAAATAAAACTTACCTTTAAAAATAAAGATTTTTTTTTAAGAATAAATTTTAAATTAAAGGAAGATATTCAACATCACTAATTTCAATAGGAAGGCAATTCAAACCAAAGGAACTTTGTCACTTACCAGGTTGGCAAAGAGGGAGAGCAGGCACTCCCATCGTGGCTAGACAGGAACGTACATCAGCACCATCGCTTTAGTGAGGAAGAGCTATCAAAATTGGGGATGCATATGTCCTTACAAATATACTCAGTAATATAAAAAATGACAAAACGATTCTACATTAAAGGCGTGCTTAAAAAGCAAAAAAGACTAAATAACCATCAAAGGAGACTAATTAAATAAACTTTGGCATATTCATAAAATAGAACACAATGCATAAAAATAAACCAGAGAATAACTGTGAATAGTAAGAATGGATAGTGCCATTTGGGCAAAAACAATATAAATTAATTGCTGTAATACATATAGAAAATTTCTGCATGAAATTAAACTTTGCATAATTTTAAATTCACAGATTATCTACATAAGTAAAAACAGGTAAACTAATTTGTCAGTTTTGTAACATGTGCCTTTATTATGTAACAAACTTTCAGTGTTAACAGATACCCCCTCGTCTGAATCAGTCCGTTATGTGGAGGTTGTACTGTATTTACATGAAATGCCCAGAGAAAAAATCTAGAGAGAAAATAGACCACGGTAGTGGTTGCCTAGGGCTAGAAGGTAGGGCGGGGAAGGGAAGTGACTGTCAGTGGGACACAGAGTTTTCTCTTAAGGGAATAAAAATGTTCTAAAACTGATTTGTGGCAATGGTAGCCCAACTCTGAATTTAGGAAAACCCACTGAATTATACTTTTGTTGTTGTCAATCCTCACCAGAGGATATTTTTTTCCCATTTCCTTTTAGAGTGGAAGGTAGAAAGGGGGAGAGAGAGAGAAACATTGATGTGAGAAACATCCACTGGTTGCCTCCCACATGCTCCCCTACTGGGGCCAGGAATCTAACCACTTTGGTGCATGGGCTCACACTCTCACCACTGCTCAGGGCTGGATTGTACACTTTAAAATGTGAATTGTATGGTATGTGAGTTATATCACAAAACTATTATTTTAAAAAACATAACTACAAAGAATACATTATTAGGATACCTGGGGAAAATTAGAGACTCTATATTAGATATCAGTATGGTTATCAATGTTAAAGTGGGTGTGACACTGAGTTATAGCCTTACTCTTAGCAGATACTGGCTAAAGTATTTATGGCTAAATCATCATAATCCTATAGCTTAATCTTAAATGATTTAGCAAAAACCAAATGTCTATGTACATACATTCATTGTGCCTGTGCTTTGAGAAAACAAGAAAAAGCAAAAGTGGCAATATATTGATAACAGGTGATCCAAGTGAAGGATGTATGGGTGTATTTTGTACTATCCTTACAACGTCTCTGTCATCTGAAATTTTTCAAAATAAAAATTTGGGAGAAATATCAAAGAATGAAATTTAGACTTATGCAGACAAATAACTACCTAGCCATTGGGAATGCTATTGTTATAAACACAATATTTTACCATTAGTAAGAAATCACTATCCTTTGTTATGGCAAGATACAGACCACCACTAATAATAATAGGATAATATGCTAATTTGACCGGACAGCCAGATGACCTTCTGGATGTCATTCTGGACATCCTTCTGGACGAAGCCACAGCGGTGGGGGCCAAGGCAGAGGTGGTTAGGGGTGATCAGGCAGGCAGGAGAACAGTTAGGAGCCAGCGGTCCCAGATTGTAAGAGGGTGCAGGCCGGGCTGAGAGGATGGACACACACACCCGTGCACTAATTTTGTGCACTGGGACTCTAGTATATAATAAAATTCCACCTTTTTTCAGCATTAATATAGGGTGTGTGAGTCTACCTTCTGTGATGGGACAGGAAACTGATGTCTAAATGAACTGTATGTAACAGGCACATTTCACAAAAGGGCAAGCAGGTTTTCTAGAAAGCATATGGTAATCATCAATATATCGTTAGCCTTCTATTATTTGAATTTGAGGAACTATTTTGTAAAGATTATCTGGTACCAAATTAAAAAGGAAGAAATTAAGACTCAAGTTTAAGATGCATCTGGTGTTCTAAAATTTTTCTGAAAGATCATTTAAAAAACTTCAAACTTCAGGTTTTTCATTCATGTATTTATTCCACAATCAAAATAAATCATAATTTAAAAATCATAACGTTTTTAAAAGGTAAAGGAGACTCTGTGCCACAGTTTCATTAATAAAACAGACAATGATCTAAAATGCAACACTAAACAGGTGTTCTATTCCCATGGTGGAATAAATACATAATAATTACACATGAAATTTCACTAAGATCTGGGATGAGGCAAATAACCCTTTGAAACAAACTGCCCCATGAATAGAGGCATGCTGCAAACAATTTCTATTAACATTTTACTGCAAGATGGAAAACCCCCAAGGTAACTACAGACACAATACTCTATTTCATGCACCTGGCCTTGGCTTTTGTCTTCCTTCCTCAGACACATCCAAATCCAGAAAGGTTTCCGCACCCCATGCTCGAAAAGGCCACCAAGAGTCCCCAAGGACCTGAGCACAGACCGCAGTTAATGAGTCTGTAGGCAACCTTCATCCAGAACCTCCAGGGAAATCAAGAGCCCAAACTGGTAGAGCAGCAGCATTTCTGTGAGCTATCGTTTTAACTGTCAAATGAGCTCTGACAGGCAATGTGCATTTCATAAACAAACCAAAATACTGGCTTAATTATCTTCTATTTTTCTCTTGCAAAATGTTAAGTAGATCATTCAAGTAAAAAAAAAAAATTTTTTTTTTTTTTTACAGAAACAAAAATTCAAAGGGTTTATGCCAAAAAGCAAACCAGTCTTCTGCAGCCTCGCTCATTTATTTCTGGGCTGGGAAGCCATGTAGAGGGCGATGAGGCAGTAGATGGTCCCTCCCACCGTCAGTGCCATGGTGGTCCGGTAAAGCATTTGGTCAGGCAGGCCTCGTTTCAGGTGGATGGGCACACCATCAGATTTCTTCAAAGAAAAAATTACCAAGGACATGGTTGGTAAGAGAAAGATTTCTAATTTAGGCTAGTAAAGAACAAATGTCTCTACTCTATGACTAACCCAATACAGTGGAAAAAGCCCTAATCCATTAGAATGCTAATTGAGATGCAAGTATATTTTCTTATAAATGTAACTAAATCTTGTGAATCCAAAATCATTCTCCAAAACACAGCCTCAGGAGTGTGCATGCAACAAATTCCAAATTTCTAAGGAATTTATGATATTGCTTAAATAAGAAAGAAGCACTGGTGAATTTTAAGACATAAAGGTAACCAGCAGCTCACGTAAGAGCTATAGGCACAAGAATCGCTCTACGTTTACTTTGACTCCCTGATCACTGGTGGATGGAGTCTGTGCACACCAGGTCAGTTAATAGGTTCAATTATCTTTTTTTATTCAGATACCTTCTTTCCATTAAGGTGTGTCAAATCCATTTAATAATGAGACTCCACAAAATGTTTAATCCGTTATTTTGCAGTCTCCAAAATCCCTCCCCACTGCAACTCAAGACCCCCAACCTGCTCAACTAACACTTATCAGCCCTTGCCAGATTGCTCAGTGGTTAGAGCATCGGCCTGAGAACCGAAGGGTCTCAGATTCAAGTCCCTGGCACCAGAGGCAACCAATCAATGTGTCTCAGAAGGATGTTTCTCTCTCTCTTTCTCTCCTGATACTCCCTCCCTTCCACTCTCTCTAAAAAATCAGTGGAAAAAATATCCTCGGGTGAAGATTAACAAAAACACACACATACATAAAAAAAGCAATTAAAGAAAACTCAGTGCCAAAAGTCACTGCCTGTGTCACAAAGCAAATATATACTGGATTATTCATTGTTTATACATTATACATGCTGTTTCCTCCATCCAATATATGCAATTTAAAAACCTACATACCCTCAAATACTGATAAGGAAATTAATCACCCTCTCATCAGATTCTACCTACACTGTGTTCTATTAGTTTATGGCTCAAATAATATCAAAATAATTTTATTTAAAGAAAAAGAGAGACGGGGGTAGTAAACTAGATTAACACTTGGTTTCATAGTTGTTTTTTTAAACCTATTTATTTCACAAGCTTCTTTGTTCGAGTGTCTTCTCTCACCTGGAAAAACTTCTGTAGCTCCGGAACTTTGTTTTTCCCAGCATAGTCATATGGAGGGTAATCGGAAGTCAGCTTAGTTGGTGTGGCAAATATGATAGGCGGTGCTTCTGTGGAAACCACAGGCTTTAATCCCTGCAGGAAACAAGGAAGAGAGTACGTGTGGGCATGTGAACAAGCCTCTCAAGGAGCAGGCTGTCTGGACAGTGGAGGCAGTCATTCAACCATGAGAGGGAAGGAAAGCCCTCTGACTCTGCATTACAAGGCCTTTAATTTTTTAAGTGTAAGGTTTAAAGTCCTTAAACTTTCAACAAAACACCCTAGTCCACTTTGCCAGAGCAACCTATCAAGCAGCCCTGGCCATGAAGAAGGGAGAGAAGCGAAGGGGACACAGGGAGAGAGGAGCCAACAACAAAGGCCCATTCTAGAAATAACTATTGTGTCTATCTTATCAAACCAGTAAAACAATTATAATCTGTACAAACTCTTGTTTCAATTAAGAGCTGGCTGTCCCTTTTCTTCTCCTGGTGAGCTGATATACCAATATGGAATCTCTAATCCCAGAAAGGACCCAGATTCTTTTCAGCACAAAAATATCTCAATCTGGAAGAAACTTCAATGGTAAGAGATGTCTTTCAGTACTAGAAAGCAAACACAAAACAGAGTAAATTTTTTAAAAACTTTAGTTTTATAAAAACAAAAAGGAAACCTCAGTGTTCTCATGTGTGACCTGTGTATGATGTAACAGATGTAAAAGTATCTACCACTGAAAGGACTGCATGAGATAACCAATATATGCCTAACATAGTGTGTCTGCACCCACACGTATTCAATAAATATAAACTGAGCGAGATTTGGGGTTAGCACAGGTTACTGTTTGTAGCTCCCTCAGCCACATAGGTAAAGGAAGGACAAATCCACAGGCTTAAAAAAAAACCAAAGGGGAAAGAAAAATAAAGCACTGATTCATGTTATAACACCAATTAACCTTGAAAATACTGCCCCTAGTAAAAGGAGCCAGTCATAAAAGCCGAAATTATGATCCATTCAGATAACAGTCCAAAATAGGGAAATCTAAAAGACAGAAAACAGATTAGGGGTTGCTTAGGGCTGGGGGGTGAGGAATAAGGGGATCAGAGCTGAAGGGTATAGGTTTCTTTTTGAGGTAATGAGAATACTCGGAAATTAAAATAGTGATGGATTATCTGTGAATATACTAAAAAAAACTTTAATGGAACACTTTAAATTAGAAGTGTATGGTATGTGAATTATATCTCAATAAAGCTGTTATTTTAAACGAGGAACCCAAGGCTCTTAGCCCACTTCTAATAGTCATGGGCCTCACAAGAGCTCCAACTCCCCCTTTCACCCGGAACACCTCACTCCGCAAACCCTGTGAGCACTGTTGGGCTACAATTTAGAGAAGCCTGCAGTCCCCCTCCCTACATACACACACACTCACACCACACACACACTCACACACAACATGAAAAGCAATTCAACTTTAGATGAATAAAATAGACAGATGAAGGACCCTAAGAGGAACTGTGTTTTCCATCTGAAGAAGTAAATCTACAGTGGCAGATATATAGACAGTTCTCCAAAATAACCTGCAGATTAAAATTAGGAACTTAAGAGTTCCAAATCAATAAAATCACTTCCTTTTATATTAAATTCTAACCAGGAAAAATAAAAATTTAAAGTTAGAAAGTAGAGTTCAAGTTCAGCCTCTTCCATTTTACAGATGAAAATGGAAACCCTTTGCCCAAAATTAATAAATACAGTTGTTAGACCCCTGGTTCCCGATCTCAAAAAAAAAAAAAAAACAAAACTTTAAATTTACCTATAATTGACAAAACCTATATTAAAAAGCAAATATTGAAAAACTCTATGTTACTCCCACCAGGCAGGCATTAGGATCAATAGGGCAACAAAACAGTATTAGTTTCTAACTATTTCCCTCCCTTCCTCTCTGTAAACAGTATTAGAATAAACTTGGCTTCTATAAATGGGGCTGAATCATGGCCTTTATTCTGTATTCCATTTACTCATTCACATACATTACTGAGCACTTACTAAAAATACAAAATGTGCCCTAACCGGTTTGGCTCAGTGGTAGAGCGTCGGTCTGTGGACTGCGGACTGCGGACTGAAAGGTCCCGAGTTCAATTCCGGTCAAGGGCATGTATAATACCTTGGTTGCAGGCACATCCCCAGAAGGGGGAGTGCAGGAGATGGCTGTTTGACGTTTCTCTCTTATAGATGTTTCTAACTATTTCCCTCCCTTCCTCTCTGTAGAAAAATAAATAAAACATGTTTTAAAAAATAAATAAAAATACACAATGAATAAGGCAGATACAATTTCTGCTATTATGGATATTCATGTTATGAAATAACAGTAGTAATATCTGAGCCCTTGTTATGTGTCCAGCATCCTGATAATTTAAACATTTTATATGCATCGTTTCATTTAATCCTGACAGCAACCCTAGAGAGATGATGTTACTATTCCTCTTTTTTAACCGAGGAGAAAACTGCATTGGAGAGGATAACTTGCCTGAGATTACCTAGCAAAGAGACAGAGCTAAGTGTCAAAACTCAAGCCTCTCTCAAGTATAGAACCTGGATTTTAAGTATTTCCCTACCTGCCCCAGTCACTGCCCCTCAACAACAATCCCTTTAAAGAGAAAGTTTGGTCAGTGTGCTGTTAGCCTACATTTGGCAAATAACACACTCAACCAGAGACTGAAAAGGAGTCTGGGATGGGAAGAGGGGATCCTACCTACAAGGCTTAAAAGGGTCTTTCTTTTACAGGAGAATTTTACAGACTCCCCTTAGTCTGTAAGCAATTTGCATTTTCTTCTAATGATCATTTCCCCTTGAGTGCAAAAAACCCTTCCTACCAAGCATCTTCAAAAATGGTTTTAAATTAAATTCATGTTTTGACAGGACTAATGTGAAAGCACTTTAATACCTAATTGCTTTGTTTGTTCACTCACCAACTACAGCCAAGTTTTTGAACAATACCATCTGAAAAGAGTACTAACCTTCTTAACAATTTTAAATAACTTCATATTTCCATTTATAATACTGTAAAAGTTTAGAATATTGAGTTTTAAAGTTATCTATCATCCCATTATCTTATCCCATCAATTATTATAATTGTAAATTCTCTAAGCTCTTTTCACAGGCATATTTTGAAATGTTTCCCTGTGATTGAGACTAAAAACAAGTTTCAACCCAGTGTCTCAAGTCCTTTATTTCTAACTTTAAATCAGATATCACCACCTCCATGTTTCCCTGACACCTCACACTCCACTTTCCAAAATTCGTTTCTCTCAAGTCTACTTAGGGGCCGTTTCTGTGGAAAGCATCACCATTCTCCAACTTCCCAATCATCTCAGATTCCTCTCTCCTCATCTCTAAAATCTCCCTCATGGGTCGCTAAGTCCTTATCATCCAGACCTCTGACTCTTCCATTCCTATTCAGAAGACCTTGAACTATTTTGTGGGTCTATTAGGCATCCCTGGCCCTGGTCTCTCCCATAAAACGGTCAGATTATGTTTTCAAAGCACAGCTCCCCCGTAAACCTTTCATGAAACTACAGGTAAGAAGCATGTCTTTGTTTCAACCTCTGGCCAAGATTCTACCACAACTTTCTGCATTAAGTTGCTTTGTCGTCAATGTCTACTCATTTCTCACAAAATTAAGTCCTACCATCCTTCATGATCTACCTCCAACCACCACAGCCAAACTTACTCAATGATTCCTCAGCTGCCCTCTCCCCTCCATCACTCTCAGTCACCTTTACCTAATATATCATTCTGCCAGCTTAAATAGGAGAGGAATTGCTCCTAGTAAGTCGTATGGTAAAATTAAGTTTACTTTTTAAGAAACTGCCAAACTGCCTCCCAAACTGGCTACACCATTTTACGTTCCCACCAGCAAGGGGGGCGGGGGGGGGGGGGGGTGTCCAGTTTCTCCACGTTCTCACCAACACCCGATGCCTGTCTTCTTGATTCTCGCAGGTGTAAAATGGAGGCTCGTTTGCAGTTCCCTAATGATTAAGGATGTTGATCATCTTTTATGTTTATTGGCCCCAATTTTAGTGGCACCACACGTGAAAGTGAGGAAAATGTTTTTCAATCCGCCACTGGAAAATAAACTGCTTGCCATAGAGTGGATGTATAAATCTGGAGACCACTGTTGTTAAGAGAACCAGCATTCCACATTAGGCTACTCAATGCTTGTCCAGTTATTCGATGCACTTTACCTAATACTGAAAGTGACAAATGTCTACATTTCTCATTGTGTCAATATTCCAAAGAAAGGAAAAATGTAAGGACTCCTCTAATTACGGAAGTCAGAACATCTGGTTTGCGAATGCCTGTCACAGATCATTCTGAAATCTACAGATCATACAAAGCTTACATGGTATCACTAATCTTAGATCGAAGTCATCCTTCAACACCACACACACACACACACACACACACACACACACAACTTTGGGCAAGCTGCAGTGTCCCACAGGAAAAGGGGGAGGTGAACAATGGAGCATCTTTTACACGCTACCTGGGGGCCCCTTACTATTCCAGTCGTTTGCCAACGCCATGTCTTATCGATTCTTCCCACACCACTCCATGAGGATGAGATGAAGATGAGGGTAGCTCAGGCTCAGCTTTGGGAGAATAGCTACCGCTCACCCAGTGCCCACCCCCTGCCCAGGACTCCTGGTCTCCGGAAACACGCCTCGTGCAATCTGCACTACAGCCGCCTTAGAGGACACTGAGCTCACCACACAAAGCAACTTGGTCCATCATAAGACAAAGCAGCAAAGCCAGGATTGTACAGCACAGATGAAGAACACGGGACTCCGATGTCCCTCCTTTCTACAACACGAGCTGGAGACTGAAACTCTTCCAATCCACAAAATCTGAATGAAATCAGGCCGCTCAAACGATTAGGCATCTGCCAGCCTAAGTTTACAACTGGAGCTCGTGGCATGTAACTACCCAGACTCACCCACACACTTCAAGTCTCCCAAAGCTGATCACACAGCCTCTCCTGGCCCTACAGATTCTCCCGGGGCCCTCAAGCCACCTCCCCCATCCCGTGCTTGGATGAGGCTGCGGCAGGAGACACCAACGGGACACCTCCCAAAGGACAGGGCCCAACTTCGGGTTCGGCAGGTCTCACATTCTGGGTTCCGCCGACCCCACGAGACAGACACCCCACGAGTCACCAGCAACGAGTCCGGGGTCACCTTGACCCCTGCAAGAGTGCCAGGCCCAACTCCTGGCCGGGCCAGCTCCGCCAGAGGAGCATCTGCAGAGCGAGGAGCCTCCAAGGCCGCTGCAAGCAGGTGCGGAGAGGCGCCGGGAGTTAAATGGGGAGAATGAACCCAAACCGGTGGCAAAAGCCATGCCCGGCTCCGGCGCCGCGACGGACCGGCGCACAGGCTCAGGCGGCCATTTCTCCCTCCGAGCCGGCGCGGGGCTGCCCGTACCTGCGGGCTATAGGCATGGGAAGCCCATGCCCCCACCAAATTCTGCGTGAAGCCGCTAAACTTGTAGTACATGATGCCCAGTGTCCCGCTTCTCGCAGCCGCTGCCCGCGCGACCGCCACAAGGAAGGACCCTGCCTTCCGGGAGCCGGCCCCCTAAGGCTCAGCCCAAGGACCCTGCGCCAAGAGACGGGTTGTCCAAAGATCGCCTAACTCAAAATATGCCCTTTTAAGCCACATAAAGGAAGAATCCGGGTTCTAAAGGCCGAGAAAGGCATGATCGTCTCTAGGAGAGCGCGGAGAGCTGCTATCTCTGTGTTTGTAGAAAATACGAGTTTCCCTCTTCCTCAAATTTTGATTCGGGCACTGATAAGACGCTCTAAGAAGTGCGCAAGCGCCCCGCGGTCCAGGCCGGAGGCAGAGGGACTTGCCAGAGTGAAAGTAGGGAGGGCTCTGGGCGGGGCCTAGGGCTAGAGGGGCGGGGCCTATAGCAAGAGGGGCGGGGCGAAGTGGGCGGGGCGACTACTCTCCTTTAAAGGGAGCGGTACTGCGAGGCTGCCACCTGGGCCCCCCGTCAGGTTGAAGGCTTCCCTTCCTTTAACAAATTAACTCGCTCGTAGTCTCATTTCTTTCCTCCCGTATCTGCCGCCTCACTCTGAAGCACTGGGCCCAGGAGTAGATACTCATCGGCCGGGCTTCTCCGACAACCTGGAATGGGAAGCAAATAAAATGTGGAAGCACCTGCTGGGAGCTGTTAGCACAGAGGCTGTTAGGGATCTCATCCCAATAACAGAAAGAGAGCCTCCTGGGCTTTGTGTAAGGGGGAAAAAATGCGTTAGTGATGTAACCTTCAGGCACTTAGAACTAGTTGTTTTTTAAAAAATATATATTTTATTGATTTTTTTTACAGAGAGGAAGGGAGAGGGATAGAGAGCTAGAAACATCGATGAGAGAGAAACATCAACCAGCTGCTCCTGCACACCCCCTACTGGGGATGTGCCAGTAACAAAGGTACATGCCCTTGACCGGAATCGAACCTGGGACCTTTCAGTCCTAAGGCGAAGGCTCTCTCCTCTGAGTCAAACCGGTTTCAGCTCAGAACTAGTTTTTACTCTTACCTGAGGCCTATGCGAACTGTTTGCTCATCCTTTTCCTAACCTCTGCCCTTTGAGATAAATGAGGTGGGAGTGAGGGAAGTGGACTAGAAACACTTGAAAAATTTAGCCCTGGAGCCTGAAAGATTCGACAACTTTCAGTTCCGGTAGAATTCACTTTTGTTCAAGTTAAAGATTTTTTCTGAGCCTCCTCTATGTGCAAGGCACTATATAAAAGGAGGATGCTGGTCTCCTACCTACAGGGTGGAGCGAGGCTTTTCCTGGCTTTATCCTCTAGCCCAGTGTCTCCCAACCTTCTCTCATGGTGAGAATCACCTGGTGGTGTTGTTAAACTACAGATTCCTGAATTCCAACTAAGAAGTGCTAAACTAGAATTTTGGGGAACATATAGGTAAAATTGTATACAATTTTTAAACTAGAATTTTGGGGAACATATAGGTAAAATTGTATACAATTTTTAAACTAGAATTTTTGGGAACATATAGGTAAAATTGTATACAATTTTTATTTTTATTTTTTTAAAATATATTTTATTGATTTTTATACAGAGAGGAAGGGAGAGAGATAGAGAATTAGAAACATCAATGAGAGAGAGTCATCGATCAGCTGCCTCTTGCACGCCCCCTACTGGGGATATGCCCGCAACCAAGGTACATGCCCTTGATCGGAATCGAACCCAGGGCCCTTCAGTCCCCAAGCCGACGTTCTATCCATTGAGCCAAACCAGTCCCGGCCTGTATACAATTTTTAAACTAGAATTTTTGGGAACATATAGGTAAAATTGTATACAATTTTACCTATATGTTCCCAAAAATTCTAGTTTAGCACTTCTTAGTTGGGATTCAGGAATCTGTATTTTAACAACTCCACCAGGTGATTCTCAACATGAGAGAAGTGTGGGAAACATTGCTCTAGCCAGAGGGTTTCACAAGCATATTATATGTTCATTTAAGTGCACCTTTGATGAAAGCATGTGGCAAACTGATGGGTGATACTCCTATATGCCATTTTCCATACATAAGCTCACTGAACCTTCACAACAACCCTACGAGGTAGGTACTGTTGTTATCTCCATCTTACAGCACAGAAAAAATGAGACCCAGAAAAGTTCAGAATCTTGCCCAGGTCAGCTTCAGTTAGTGGCAAAGCTAGTCATCTGACTCGAACCTGTATGCAAATTGCCCTCCTTGACCAGGGGGTGGGGCTGGATGGCCAACCGCCCTTGGCCCCTTCCCCTGGCTGGCCCTGCCTCAGCTGGGACATTATCCATGCATGAATTTCGTGCACTGGGCCTCTAGTTATAGTTATAGATAAACAGGTATCGATCCATCCTGGGAAGAGGAGGTTGAAGGCTGAGTACGCCAGAGCAAGGATGTACTCCAGCATCCCCGTTTGGCAGGTGTAAAGCCGAAGAGCCCCACGTGTTCAGCAATGCCAATGCTCTGAGGAGCAAAGGTTTCAGCTTCTTTGCATGATCAGCTGAACCAAAGCCGCTGCTTTTACAATGCAGCATTGTGACATAATGGAAAAAGAAAATGCGATTTGAGTTTGAGTCACCATGTCTTCAAGGCTGAGTGATCTGCAGCTTGTCATGTTCCCTGAGCCTCGCTTGTCTCCTCTGTAAGTAGTAATCCCCATCAAAGAATCGTCCCTCCCTGGTGTTCTGAAAATCAATAGTTCAGTAGGTTTCAAGGTTTCACAGATATTATGTTGCTGATCTTACCTTTTCATAGTTCTTGGCTATTAATTAATTAAATGTCAGAATCACTCATACCAAGAAAGGTGAGGGAGCTTGCTAGCAATTATTGAGTGGAAGAAAATATCTCTCACAGAATTTAGATTGAAAAGAGAAATTAAGTGATTTAGGACAGCTCTCTATCTCCCTGCCAACTATCTTTTTTTTGGAGTGGAGAGAGAGAGAGAGAGAGAGAGAGAGAGAGAGAGAGAGAGAGAGAGAGAACAATTATGTGAGATAGACACATCGACCAGTTGCCTCCTGCACGTGGGATAGGTCTGCAACCCAGGTACATACCCTTGTCTGGGAATGAGCCCGGACCCTTCTGTCCATGGGCCAACACTCTAACCACTGAGCAAAACAGTCCATCCCCCCCCACCCCCCACCCTCCCAATGTCTTCTAAACATATTTTGGAGGAAGAAAGTAGAGAGCATTGCTCCACTTTTCGCAGCACTAAAGGTGCACCAGCTTCTTGAGGTATAAAGGTACCTGTCAACTCTGGTTATTTTCTTGAGGTTTCTGCCATGTGATTTTAGATCCTGCAAGACATAAATTAAGAATCCTTGAAAATGTTACAACAGCCGGGCTGTTCAGTGGGAGATAAAATGTCAGTAAGCAGAGTGTGGGATGGGATGTCACATGGAGTGGCTGATCAGAAGAAGATTCTGTCTCATTTCCCAAATAAGACGCAGCACCCTCTTCTGACAGCACCAGAGCAGCCCTGGTCTCATGCTGATTTGCATATCCCACCCAACCTCAGTGCGTGATCTTCCTCTATATCATGATTCTTTCTCGGGTTGTTCCCTCGGTTCTATTCTCAGGGGAAGTGACCACAATTCGCAGTGCCCAGAAGCTTGTCCGTCGCCAAGTGGTTTGAGTGCGTGCGGATGCCAGGCTGGCTTGGGTGGATCTGCCCGCTGTCGCCGCCGCTGCTGCTCCATTTGTGAGGCTGGTGCTCATGGCCTCTGGCCGGCAGCGCTGCGAGAGCGCCTGGGAAGGATGGACGACCGACATAAATTTTAAATTGGATTTAAACCGAACGTGGATAGGAACTGCCTCCCTGTGAAATAATTTTTCCTTTTCTAAAAAATTCTCCAATTTTCTCAGAATTGACTTTTTATTTTTTTATATTTTTATGGATGTCTGTGGGTCTGGCAGAGTGAAAGCCTGTAGGCTGTGGAGGAGTTGAGATTGTGTTTCCTTCAATCTTTCATTGTGTTCAGAAGGGTTCACGCGTCCCCTAGCTTCAGAGCAGAAAGATGAGTGACGAGCGTTTGTTTTGTGCTGATCTCCCCTGCGGCAGGCGTCTCTGGGATATAGGCTTCCGGAGGCCCTGCTTCCCCACTCTGGACTGTCTCTTTGCTGCAAACGGAGGATCCTCTCTAATCCGGAAAACGTTGATGCGCGTGGATTTTGCCCGTTGTAAGGTAGATTCCCTGAAGGGAAACAGACTATCATGCTGTCACGTTAGAGTGCGGTATTACCTTTAAAAAAAAAAAAAAATTGTGCTTTGCACCTACCCAAGGAAGGTAGAGGAAAAACATTTTCCCAGCATTTAAAATGGCTAGTGATATTCCCAAGAGAAGCATCCCCAATACCATATTGGAAAACAAAACGGAGAGCCACACGCACTTGGTGATTCTCCGAACGGTGGCACCTGTCGTGCAATTATTCGGTAATTTCCATGCGGCAGAATTAGAAACCTCTGCTGTCATCTCTCATTCTTCGTATCAGATAAGCCCTATCTGGTGTGTAATCGTAAGTCTGTCTTTGAAACCTGCCATTTAGATGATATCAATATTATTGGAAAGCAATGAAACCTTGGTGAAAGCATGGTACTTTCACTGCGAAGGAGCGGAGGGTCTGGACGTGCAATTCTCTCTCACCCAAGAGAGGGGAAGCGGCAGCTGGGGCTGCAGGTTCTGGGACAGCTTTGTTGCGGCGCGGGATAAACATATTGACATCAGCTCCCTGCTCTGACCTTCTCACTGTTGAATGTCAATATGATGTGTGAAGCTGCCTCACTTTTTGCCTGCCTGCTTTTCCTTATGTGCAAGTCAAAAGCACATCCACAGAGATTATGGATTGAACTCAATTTTGACACATCTCATTTCATTTCACTGGTTAAGAGAGACTGAGCATGACTCATCATTTATTTTAAATCGTTTCAAATACACTTAATTATACTTAAAATGTTTTGAGATCCAGAACAAGTGTCAAAGGT